GGCTTGTGCCCGCCCTCACAGTCGGGCATATTTGCGGAATACACCACGCCGCCGTTGACCCGGGCCATTGACCGAGCAACCCAACGTACTTACCAGCTCCCTCCGCAGGAATGTGTAAACAACTGGGGAGAAAAGTTTCACCTCTATTCTCACATGTGCTGCTGGATGGTAGGTGATGGGCTGGGCTTGGCGAGGTCACGCTGGGTGTGGCTTGCAGGGGGTTTCCTGCCTTCAAGAATGTGCGGCCGCCGTCATTTTTATTGGGGCTCCAACATTGAACCACAGAAAATTAGACGTTAATCGAGCAATCGACTTTCACGACGAATGGTACCAGCTCTATTTTAAGTCACTTTTCAAAGAATAAATAACGAATATAATATGCTATTTGAGCAGGTATGCACGTTATATGTGTTGGTGAAGATAAGGCAATATCATATCTTCACTATAAAGTTCTTCCCCCATTTTTTTATATCACTTTAATACATTTTCAATTTTTTAAAATTGTATTCATGTGTTGTGTTATAATGCTGAACAATGAATTATTTGTTGAGTTCTGTTTTGGTGGATTCTTACGTTCAAATAAAAATAATCCACACCATGTATGGGCAGAGAAGATGTGAAAAAGCAGATACAATCACATTTTCCTTTTCATTGTCAGCCATAGTATCTGAAAAGGATGACGCAATGGGTTCCTGATGACCTTCATTTACCACAAAACGACATGGCTTGGCACAAACCTCATTTCAAACTTTCCAACCCTCCAGTCAGTGACCTGCAAGGTCATGTGAAAATAATGCAGCATCAGGGATAAACGCATATGCTGCAGTAGGCTGAGGTCCTTTTATATAGACAGATAAGAGCCCGCTGATATGTATTTTCTTCCACGTGAGATATTGTATAATTGTAAGTAGCAAACGTTGTTGATATTCATTTTCAATACAAATTACTAAATTATATTTTGTATTTTTTTTAAACAATTACATTATGATGAATGTACGTTTTACACAGTTGCTCATCACAGGGCCAAAGACCCAACACGTCAAGTGCCCAAACAGCAAACAGCGGTATCAGAGTTGTAATAAATACGATTTAATACACGTCTTAAGCAAGGTTATACTAGATTGAAAACAGAGACGATAGAATGGAATTCCAAAATCGAGTAGTACAATGGAACAAACAGAATGAGAAGGGTTTTTATCTGGAATATTATCATCATTGTGCTTGCTTACCCAGAGAAGCAACATTGAGTCTCACGTATCCTTTTCAAGAGAGCCCTGCCAAGTTTTTGCATGAGGCGGCAATGATTGCTACCTATATATAGAGTTTTCCTATTGACCATGATGCCGGCCCCCAATGGCCTACTCTTGCCAAGGACGCCACAAGATCTTTAACGTCCACTGCGGAAAGCAGATGGAATGTATTTGTATGGTTAATTACACCCGCTTGTTTTAATCAGTATTACAAATACCAAACGTATTCAAATGCACCATTTATCATAATTAATGATACATTTCTGGGATGTTATATCACCACTCGTCAACATGATATATCTGGTGGGAATTTAAACCCAAGGTGTTCCAATGGAAAGTTCTTCATTAACTTTCATGTTCACATGACATTCACTAAATATGATAAATAATTAATGGTTTAAAGTGGATTTCTTTCCTGGCTAACATCTTAAGTGTAGGAACAATATATTGGTGAATCAATGTTGAAAATAACAGTACTATATCAGAGGAAAGTGGCAATAAGGCATCACACATACACATATTGGTCCTCATCAATAATTGACATTGATTGCATATATAGGGTTTACACAGCATCATAATACAAAGTTATAGCTTCCATATAGTTTGTAGCATGAGTATTGTATAAAAATATATATACTGCATGTGACTAACATAAATGGACATTTCTACACCCGCCTAGAGAGATATATGTCTGTCAATAAATATTGGTCAAGTAAATTGTATTTACGGTCAAATTATGTCCCAAATATATTTTATATAGCGTACTATATTTTTATCACACTGGCCGAATTTAATGGATGTGTGGTGATGCTTGCGGTTAGTGCGCTGGCTTGCTGAGTTGGATTCCCGGTCATTGCTAACACAAGCGGCAAGCGATATCTGAACTGGTCTTGGCACCCTTACACCAAGTCACATTGACCAGGGTGGTGTGAGGTGGCTAAGGTCAGTAGCATTTTTATTGATTTCAATTCGAAAGTGGAATATAAAACACAGCATATTCAAATACAACTTCTCCGCCTTAATTGCTTTAAGTCAAGATGTAATTGCAATAAGTTTAATTTTTTTTACAAAATGAAATCGGTTATTTCTCTTTAATGGACATCTTTGGCACGTGCGCTGTGTTTAATGCATTGACTTTGAAGTAGCGTCCCAATTATAACTGTCCGTTAATTGGATGGAATATGTTACGTGTAGTTTATTTCGACTTCAAACGTATCGATGTGCACATACTGTGTACATGTACAGCACATGTGTAGAGGAGTATTGTGAGTAGCCAATGAGGGGCGAGCGTAAGAAAGTGCGAGTTGGTCGAGTTACGTGGGGCCAAGGATGACGTAGCGTGAGGGGTTACATAAGGGGCTTTCGGAAAGCACTTTCGGGAAAGTGGGCGGGGCCGACCTGGAGGGAGGAGCCACCCAAAGAGTTCTTAAGGGTGACCCCGTGACGAGGGCGGGGTCGTCGTTGGGGGCCAGGGTACGGACCTGCTGGAGAAGAGGCCTCTCTCCTCGTCGTGGGGCGGTGTTGGCTGATCCCCCGCCCCGGGCAGACGAGTGAGCAGAGACAAGGGGGAGCCGGAGTAGGACCTTAAATAATTACGGGGTGTCCGTGTGAAGGACAGAGAACAGAGTGCACCTACACTGGTGTGAGTGTAGGATGCCGCGTGTGTGAAAATAAACGTCAACCAGCCCTAATAGTATTCATTTCCGCGTGGTTGTTCTACACTACACATGTGTCAATCGACTGAATGTCTCCCCATGCCGTGCAGACAGTAAAGGTTATTTGACCATACTTCACCACAAAGCCATATCCAGGCTCAAACCTGCTTAGTTTCTTAAGATTAACGGCATAGCATTATCCAACTACAAATAACATTCACAATAATGCAAGTGGCAGGCTTCGTTGTTAACTAGGCCTAATGTTCATCGTAACAATTTCGCAGGATAAAGGCATTTACAGCATTATAACGGCAATCCTAACATTATAACACCATTCCCAGTATTATAAGAAGATAAACGAACTTACAGACAATGCTTCTTAAACTCCCGCAATGAACAGATGCACCCGTCTTCGCCGATATGCTAATTGTGTCTGCATTTTGTACCCTGTGTAATGGCTGACACACCTTCCTGGCCTCGTGGCTTAGAGACCCTTAACTCGTAACGTCATCGTCACGTGACCAAACTCAACACCATCATATTATCAGGGAGTTCCTGTGTAAACACACCCCCATATCTGCCGTGGGGCAGAACATTCACCCAACGTTGAACCAACCTTCACCCAACGTTCACTTAACGTTGAACCAATATTCGCACAAAGTTGAACAAACCTTCCCCCAATGTTCACCGAACGTTGAACCAACGTTCACACAAAGCTGAATAAACCTTCCCCCAATGTTCCCCCAACGTTGATTAAACATTCACTCAACGTTGAACCAACGTTCACACAAAGCTGAACAAACGTCCACTCAACGTTGAACCAACGTTCACACAAAGTTCACACAAAGTTGAACAAACGTCCACCAACATTGAACCAACGTTCACTCAAAGTTCCACGTTAAACTCGGGGAAGTCTGAGATGCAATTCTGTTCCTTTGTGTTTCAGGATGTAGCAAGCAGGTGGTACAGTGCTGTGCACACAGAGGGAGGAAACAAAGACAAAGATTCCCCGTGTAGCCTAAACAGACTATAGGGGCAAGTGTTGTTAGCGAGTAGCACCTATGAAGGCCGGCACGGCACACGAGGGGGTGAGTGGCCAGCACCACAATAAACGTCTTGCACCACGCAGCCTTTGTCTCCCTAGTGGCGATTTTTACACACCGCACCAGGTACTCGTTTGAGGCTAAGTCGACCTAGGGGGAGGTTCAGAACCGGTTCAGATAATCGTCATTGGTGTTGGTTGCTGGGAGCGTAGTGGGTAGCGCAGCCACTACACTACCGCTCCCCCACACACCAATATCAATACCAATACCAGCCATTCTCCACCACGGTGCCTGTGCCAGGCTAGGTGCACTTTGAGGCTATCACGTGAAGTGTCGAAAAGATCGCTGACAGGTCTCGGGACAGACCCAGCAAGTGCCGTAGTTTGACCGACTAAGATGACCACTGGTAGATGCACCACCAGCTGATCCCCCCCCCCCCAGCCACTACACCACCAGCACCAGCTGTACCCCCCCCCCCAACCACTACACCACCACCAACACCACCAGCTGTATCCCCCCCCCACCACTACACCACCAGCTGTACCCCCCCCCAACCACTACACCACCACCACCAGCTGTACCCCCCCCCCAACCACTACACCACCAGCTGACCCCCCCCCAACCACTACACCACCACCAACACCACCAGCTGACCCCCCCCCCTAGTCACTACACCACCAGCACCAGCTGTACCCCCCCCCAACCACTACACCACCACCAGCTGTACCCCCCCAACCACTACACCACCACCACCAACAGCTGACCCCCCCTCCCCCCCACTAGCTACCACCAGCTGATCCCCCCCAGGCACTACACCAGCACCACCAGCTGTACCCCCCCCCCCCCCCAACCACTACACCACCACCGACACCACCAGATGAACCCCCCCTACCACTACACCAACACCACCAGCTGATCCCCCCCCCCACTACACCAGCACCACCAGCAGCAGCTCGCACGCGCTGGGGATGCGGCTGCCCGGCAGTGTCGACGTCACCACTCGCCAACAGCTGACGCGCCCCTCCCCCCCAGCAGCATCAGCTGACGAAGGGGAACACGTGGCCGCGTTGCATAACAAACACGGAAGGGCTGGGAAATCGTGGTAATGACAACAGAGTAGTACAGTGTCCTCGTTACAATGTAAGCACACGTAGCTGTGTGTGTCCGTGCGTGTGTGTTCGATACCGTATAATATGTGATATGTACTCGTGTGTGAGTGTTCGATGCCCTATACTATGTGAGATGTACTCGTGCGTGTCATAAGCGCTCTGAGTCTCGTAGCATTGTTGTCACATTGTACGGCGCGTGATGCTAGTCCGTACTGCCTACAGGCAGCACGCAAGCGCACTGTGCACGGAGGGTTACGCAGATGGTTATACCGCAGTTGTATTTAGAGGTGAGGACGCACAGTGCTGATGTACACTCGGAACAACTCGGTAGTGAATGCGGTGATGAGAACGGCGCAGTTAAATCTGTCGGAAGTCGTCGGTGATGATGGTGGTGGTGGTGATGATGATGGGTTTAGTTGTTACTCGGGGCAGCGGGCGTTATCGATAATTGATTTGGCATCTGTTCAAAGTGTGACTCGCGAGCGTTTTAATTATAATCGCGGGTTGAGTTCCTTAATTTGTCGGTGATCGTAAAATTGGCGTCGTTTGTTTTCGTTTCGGTTTCACTTTCCGAATGCCCAACTTTGAAAATGAAGCATTGGCAATGGGTCCGACCTTGGTTGTGAACTTGAATAAGTTCCTGCAGTCACGAAAGTTTCAAATCAAGATTGGACTTTAATAAGCACTGCGCTCACTTGACTTGACTTCGCTGCACGAAGTTGAGCATCGATGTGCGGTCCAACAGCTCCTGTTTGCAGCCCTGGACGAGTGGCGGAAATTCCACGTTCCCATGGCGGGTGCATGTCTATCCATAGGGCAACCACTGTTGTGACTGCCCCATATCGAACCCCAGAGTAGAGATGATGGGCGGCCACTTGCTCTACCGCTCAGCCACCTGTCATGTTGATGTGTACACATTGTGTTCTGAACAGTAGCTATTAATAGAAAAAAGAATAATGGTTGGTTATCTTCTATAACATTGATAGCATGATCCAACAGCTATTAGGATAGGTTATTTCTTTGAAGTTATATTTCAGTAAGGGGCCGTCCATAAATGACGTCACGCACCGAGGGGGGGGGAGGGGGGTCAGACATTTGTGACGATGTGTGACGAGGGGGGAGGGTTGAGAAATGTGACATAACTGCAAAATGCGCAACTTTAAATAAATATTAATTAAATTGAATTGTTATAACAACACTAATTTTTATTAATTTTCATTATTAACTACTGTATTTGATTGTTAAAATGTACTAAGGTCACCGTTTATTTATTCCATGAAGGAGCATTTTGCTTCTCCATGGGAGAATGGAGAAGCATACATTTTGAATTAATTTTTTTATGATTGTTATCAAACATTTTGATTATAATGATTCTACCAGGGCTTTTCATTTTATGAAATGAATGTGATTGCTTCGTTCGACTACAAAGTTTAAAGTATTTTTTATATTTATAATTACTTTAAATAGTTTTGAATTATAAGATAATTTAACTATAATATTCTGAACATCTGCAGTTTTAGTTAGACGTTGAATATTTTCAAGTGAATTTTATGCTAAATTTCAGCTTTCCAACGCCTCCTTTTTAATACATGTTTTCTCCTACAACATCAGAGTGCAGCGCCACATTAAATACATACTACAACGACAATAGTTTTAGTTTAAATTAGAAGCATGTTTTATTTTCAAAATGGAAATTTGGTTTGGGGGGGGGGGCAGAGCTTTGTGACGTCAATGTTTGACGGGGGTCTAACTTTTTGTGACGCCGTGTGACGTGGGGGGAGGGGGGGGGTCAAAAATCGGCCAAAATCGTGTGACGTCATTTATGGCCGGCCCTTAATGATAGTTGATAAGAGGGAGTATCTTGCCCAGCTGCGACTGCTTGAAGTTGGATTCTAGATTTCAAGTTTAAATCTCAGGGTTTCTTGCAGCCTATCTAGGGGGTCGATAATATAGTTACTTTGTGCACCTTTTTGTCAAGTTAAGTGTCTACCCCTTCCATAGGAATGTGGAATGCGTACCACTAACTCAGGCCCATCGATCAAAACGCGTTCCAGCGAGTCGCTGTAGAATTGATTTCACCGCTTTAACAAAAACAACAACAAGAATCAAAGACGGTAGGACCAGGAGGGAGACAAACGTGATGGGACGTGTGGTGGGATAACATCGTCACGGTAGTTTGTGCCGAGAGGATGTGTCGGCATACCTTCATCATAGACGTCCGAACTCGGAGCTGATGCCGATTAGTGGATGGACATGATACGTATTAAACATTTAAAAGCTACGTCTCATTTGTTTAAATTAATTTCCATTTAATTGCAGCGTTTGTTTAAGCTCCTTGCTCCCTGCTTGTGTCATCGAACTAATTATCTTGTACAACCCATCTCTGGCGCTATGATTAGTGAACCCGCCAACTGCTGGGAGCTCCATCAACCGCTCTTGCTTGCACTGATAACGGAGCTTGTATTAAATTAGACTCGACATTATGGAAAAGGGGGGGATGCTGCTGTGGTGTAATTGTTAACAGACTGGATTTGCAATCAAGAGGTGACCGGTTCGTTCGGTTTACAAATTGTCCATGTTGCATGAATCCTTTTGCCTTTGTCTAACTAGCAATCGGCACTTGACATCTCTTCGCTTGGCAGGCGTAGACCAAGCTTAGCATGGGGAGCACCATGAGATAGATGTTTGTTTGCACTGCTTGCGGAAGCTCCTCCACTAGAGCAATCTCTAGAGTGTATTTTGGGCTACTCTTCCACGTTGGTTGGTCAGATGCCTCGGAAGAGATGGGACTACCCACTCTTTACCCCACTAAACGCGAGACTGCCCATCAATGAACTGTGATGTACCCATTAGTACTGCCGGGTGGAAAGAGGCAGGGTTATTTAAGACCTCTGGCTTGCAATTCGAGTGCGCCAACCATTACACCACGGCAGGCTCCCTCGTAAATACTATTCTTCAACGAGATCCTCCATGCGAGTCTTCAGCAGCGTCTGCGTTCTGTGGCTGCCATGTCCAGTGTGTCCCCTTGCAGCCAGGCGGTGTCCGCCCGTAGTCACACGAGCCCCGGAGGGCAGCGGCAGCAGCAGCAGGAGCAGCGATGGGCTCCTTCCTCGGCATCGGCGTCGCCACGATCGGCGGCGCCGGCCTGGCGTGCGCCTTCGCCTTGGCGTGGGACATCAGGCAGCGCACGGTGTCCGAGAGCCACACGTTGGGCAGCCTCCTGGGACAGTACTTCTGCTACGCCGTCTTGCACAGGTCAGTGCGGCGTGGCCCGCTCCGCGCCTCCGTTAGCGCGGCGTGCGGCCGTCGTTCGGCCAGAGCAGCCGCACGGTCGTGTCAACCTGGCTTAACCGGGATGGGGGCGGAGGATGGTGCAGTTGGGACCCATCCTCCACATCAACTGGGATGGGGCGGTTGGGTCACACAAAAAAACAACTTAGAACGCATGTAATTGATAAATCGAATTAATAATTATATTATCTGCTTTTGTCTGTCATGCCCCCCCATGCTCTAGCTCTCAATTCCTGTGTGTATTAGAAGAAGCTGCGATACTCATTGTTTCACGCTACTTGTTTTTAAATCCTTTATATTAAGTTCGCTTGCTTGCTTGCTTGCTTGCGTGCTTGCTTGCTTGCTTGCGTGCTTGCTTGCTTGCTTACGACCGTGCAAATCTTTCGGTCGTTTTTTAACCCACTTCCCGTGATCCAATCGAGCTGACATTTTCCACACAGACTCGTTATGACAGACAATTAATGTTCGTGAAAATGTTTTTCCAAAATTTTACACTGTTTAGGGAAAACAAATTAAATATTTAATTACCAATTGCTTAATACTGGCAGACAATCATCTGACCCATAGATTGCAGCCATCTCAAGACAGAGGACGAGAGGACTCTAGCCGCCACGCATATAAAGGATTTAGAGTGAAAAACTTTGTTTTTACGGGTTTGCTTGTTTTTACTTGAGAATTTACAAAGGGGGGAGGGGGGTGAGGATTCAGCACGAGGTTGGGGGAGGGGGGCTTAACCCCTCTATGCTAGGCAGGGGACTGTAAAGTAGTAATGGTGGCAGAGTGGTTCGCACACTGTTTAATTCCTGGCCATTGTGATCATCAGCAGAAAGTATTATCCAAATCAGTCCTGGCCACTACCCCCCCCCCATCCCCAATTTCACCAGCATGCAGTGAGCAGTATGGTGAAGTATGGTCAACCAACCTCTATGAAAAACATGTTGCAGAGTTGTTTTGAATTTCACTGGTAAACGTGCAAAGTGGTGGAATGTTCCGAACCTGTGAATATTCACAAACTCATTGCATCCCTGCTCTTGTGCACCTTGTGGTGGTGACGCGTTTGCCTGTGCTGTGCCGAGACTACAAATTAACACGTGGCCTTCACACGCCAAGGGGTCCAGAGGTTTTGCAGTCTTAACGACACACCCTGAGATACAGAGTTATTTTTATCCCTGGGTGAATGTTGTCTCATGTTTTATATTGATCTAAAGCACGATTGCATTCTTTTGCTGTAACTAATTACGTGTTAGTCATCTTTTCTTCTCCTGCGGAGCAACTGAATAGGTAGAACACATTGATTTAATTGATTGGTGCTGGAAAAACAAAAAAATATTTAATGGTTGCTACATTTTGAGCCTTTGTAGCCTCATGTTTTGTTAATTCTCATATCTCGTGTAGAAAGTACAACTTATGAATAGATAGATGGGCCGGTATGTACACCATGTAAATAAGTAATGTGTTGGGCTGCAGCCTTAAGAACTGAGTTAGCACAAAAAACATCTGATATTTAATCATCATTGCCTCTTGTGGAATTCCACCTTTTTAGGGAGTTGTTGACGAGCTACGTGTTTTAAAAATGTCCTGACCTGAGACTGAATAAGTCCCTTGTTTAAAATATTCCAGCTGTACTGAATGTCACTTGGTGCGGAGGAGACAGCAGTGTTTCCCACTGTCAGGCTAAATTCAGTGAAATTTTACATAAGGACGTTGAACTTCTTTCGCACCGCACGTAGCCAACCTCGCTCATCGGAGGTGTGCCAACTAATACACGCACAGAAAGTGTTAGACCACAATACAAACCAGGAAATGAGGAAATCCCAGCACTTCATTTATATCTAGATGACAGCTTAACTCATGCATTGTGCAAGAGAGTCCACGTGGGTCGTCCCGGTTACGGAACGGTTTGTTGTTCCGCTCAGCACCAAGACGAACAGTTGCAGCCATTTCGTCCCCAGGACCCCGAGCCTTTGTCTCACACCTCCTCGTATCAGGATTCCTCCACACTTCCGATGAGCACGGTTGGCTACGTACCAGAGGTCGCAAACAGGTTTTGATTCTTTACCCGTACCCGTACCCGGCCGCACCAGGGTCGCAAACGGCGACCCGTACCCGTACCCGGCCGGGTACGGGTACCCGTTCCCTACCCGTACCCGTACCCTACCCGAAATGAGTGACAAACGGCTACTCACCAGTGACTCACGGCCTACCCGTACCCGTACCCGGCTGCACCAGGGTCGCAAGGTATCGGGTAGGGTACGGGTATCGGGTACCCGGTTGCGACCTCTGCTACGTACGTTGTGGAACAAGTGCAACATACACGCAGTATTTCCCCTGTCTTGCTCACCTCCTCTTTCCCACCAATCTTTATCTTTTGAGTTTTTCCCTCCAATCCCCTAGCACCTTTTTTGCACCTTTCTTGAATTCATTTCCTCTGGGCGTAGTCTCTTGTCCATTGCGTGACCCCTGCATTCAATCTTGGCCGTGTCCCCACACGACCTCTGGGCGTGTTTCTTGCACACGTAACCCATGCTGACCACCAGGCTCAAAAGATTATGTTTAATTCTAAGGCAGTGATAGGTCAACTACACAACGCAATCATGGCTTCTTGCTCATTGAGGTTTTTTTCTTCTTCTGAGCAACACATTCATTAATAAGACAGCTTATTTTAATCACTAGTCACATACCTGTCAACCCCTTATCAGTTCCTACCTTATTACATAACAATTCAGACCTTATTGGTCAGCCCGTGCCCTTATCAATTTCAACGTTCATCTTACAAAGTCCCATCGCAAGGGAGAAACACAAACAAACAGACAAAGACATGTTTTGCCTGTATTGAAACGGCTGTACGCCGTATGGACCTGGCACTCAATTTCCCTGTAAAAAAATACGGGTAAACCGTACGAGTTGACAGGTATGTAATGAAGTGAATTCTGCAATGACCGAATTGAATGAGTTTTTTTTAAATCGACACATACATCAATCACACTGCCTTGATAGAAATATTTTTTTTAATATAAATTTTCAATGTCTTGGACAATGGTCCCTTCTTCATAGCACATAAACAGAGAGGCCAGAGGCATGGAGTTAACGAGGATTGGAGACTGCACTGCACATCACAGCTACTATCAGGTAACTATTACTATGCCTATTAAAACAAAAACTTGGTCATCAGAAAAATTTTTTTAAATTAAATTCTCACCAGGCCCCGTGGCATTAGGTGCACAGTCTCCAACCCTCATTAACGCTATCTGCATGGCCCCTCTGTTCATGTGCTGTGAAGAAGGGCCATTGCTCAAGACGAATACGAGCCGATTATACGTATCTATATATATATACAATTTTTGTTAAAAGCCACTGTTATTGACGAATGTGTTAAGTGTGCTTAGCACACCAGGGCCAATGCGGCACCACCAAATAATAAAATCCTATTAGGACTTATCGGTACAATGTCCTTATATTCCAATGCCATTTGTGCCAGATGTTTTTTTTTTCTGAGCAGCTATAGTTCTCTATATGGTATGGAAAATGTTGCAGAAGCTCAAGGCAAACAAATTCAAGCAAGATCTGTGACTGATGATGGAAATAAAAGTGTGTACAGGATGCAAACAACATGATCATCGAGTAAAACACCTCTCTTTAGCCTCAGCAGAATCACCTACGGCTTTTATTAGTCATGCAGAATATACACAAGTAGTGGTGCTGTTATCACCTTCACATGCGATGGAGACATTTCCATTCGGAACCCTCGCAGCTGGTATTGTGACCTGGAAGATGTCAAAACAACTTCTTCTGAAGCCTCTTTTGTAGGCCAATAAGGGACACTCCACATGCCCTGCAAAGTGGTTCTCACGCAGTTACACAAACTGTTTTATTCTCAGAGCTAGAATAATCTAAATGAAGTGAATCACCACATTTAATGTCATGTTTTTTTTGTTTGCAGCCATAATTGCTAACTGGCCTGAGATCTTTAACTCGCCGCAGTTGAGAAACATGTTTGACTACCGGTGGCTCAATCCTGGATTCGAACCCAGCTCTTAGTGGTGCTGGCACAATGCTCTCGCGTGGAAAGTGACCTCTAATGTCTTGGTACCCACAGAACATACCGGTCCCGTGTTCTCTAAGTAAACACATCCTACACGGCGAGCAACACTCAAGCTTAAAGGCAATAACAGATGCAAATAACTCTTAATGTTCGTGCAACTTTAATATGGGAGAGGCCTTGGCAAGTGAACGTCTTTGCGGAAACAAACTGTGGGCCTAGAGACTGGATCGGCCAGGTACACTATACAGATGCCATGATTGTGTTTTTTTTCTTTCAAAAGATGACCCTTCTTCATCGTAGAACGTTGGTTCAAGCAAGATCCTGTCCTCTTTTCTAGTCCTTGGCATTCAGCCTACATCACAGGGGGATGATTACATGGGAAATGTAAAATGTCACCATAATCACCCTTGCATTTGAGATACCGCAATCCCATTCGGCAGAGTACGTGCCTGCCAGCATGCTGCCCTGAACATCATTGTAGAAAGAGTCTAAATATAAATACAACTGCACCTCAAGACGCCGCACACAGACAGTGTGACGTGCATCATGCAGTCGGGAAGATATTTAGTGATATGTTTTACAGAAGAAAATACATCGTTTTAGCAATATAAAATAGGTGACCACGAAACGTTTAACTATAATTTATATTCAATTTTGTACAAAATGTATGTGCTTGTCTACATGGTGTTGCAATTATTTTACAATATGTAAAACAGAATTACATGAATCTGCTAAACACAGAGTAGATCGTAATTCTTGAAAATGTGATTATCAGCTAAAACTGTTTAACTAAAATGGTCACATTTGCATGAACAGATTACCCACATAGATGTATAGAATATTGAGGCAAGTGCTGCTAGCATGTACACAATGAGGCTGGCAAGGGCATTGTGTGCTCAATACCATGGCCATATTTGTCTAACCCGAGTGTTAATCTTTACACACCTGAGCAGGTCGGAAGTTACGGCTGAGTGGACCTAGGGGAGTGCCCATGGGAAGTCCTGTTACATCTCGATATTGATGTTAGCTTTCGCTGGGAATTTAACTATAGGTACGATGGGTTGGTCATGCAGTCTGTCACCTACCAAACTGTGGCACAGCTTCCTTAATAATATATATAAACACAGACACGATCAAGATCGTATGAATGTAGTAGGGGGATGCTTCTATGGCGTATTGGTTAGTACACTGGACCTAGACTACAGCGGTGGCCAGATCGTTCTGCTGCTGATGTGGCAGTTTCAACAATAGGGCAGGTTTAACACATTCCTGCGGAGGGGAACGTTGGGTTGCTCGGTCAATGGCCAGGGTCAACGGCGGCGTGGTGTATTCCGCAAATATTCCCGACTGTGAGGGTGGGCACAAGCCGGCGTGAGTAGGTTAAACGTTGAGTTTTATAAGGGCACCACGGAGTGACCAGATACCTCCCCACCTAGCCCCATCCCTCCCACCCCCCACCCAGCCCCACCCTCCCCACCCAGTTCCTCCCCAACCTCCCCACCCAGCCCCTCCCCACCTTCCCCACCCAGCCCCTCCCCACCCTCCCCTCCCCACCCAGCCCCTCCCTCCCCACCCAGTCCCTCCCTGTAGGACGGACGGACACAATAATCCTCTATGGGCTGGTGGAACCAGTGGGTTCCTACCAGTATTAAATCCCATGTCCACAAAGCAGTATAAATGGGTTGCACCACAGTCAGTTGGCGGGTCACCACGTGTGACGAGGTAAAGTGTGGGTACTCTGACCCCTTTCAAAGACGTGTGGCCTGCTTGGAATTGTAGGCGAAAAAATATCCTCAAGAGCAGTGTGGTTCTAAACCTCAAAGCCCTTTGGTTCTCAATCGTTTAAAAAAGTATGACGTTAATGAATACATAGGTTTGATGAATCAAAGTAGTTGTACTTACGTGACCGTGCTTAATGAGCGTTTTCGATGATTTACCTTCGAAAAAAATGTGGCCATGTCTCGCACCGCCAGAAAGGGAATCTCGCATCCCAGGTTAAGAACCACTGCTCGAGAGGGACTTTGGAGAGCTGCCTGTAGTCGTGGCCCTTCTGCCAGCAGTGACGTGAGCAAGCAGGCACTTGCAAGGCTGCGCCTTTATCTGCACACAGTACACGCCGTACTGTAAGGTTGCAACCAACTGGAGCAGACGTACACAGCATAAATAAAATAAACACAACTAAATTACATTCTAAGTGGGTAATAGAAACTGTGAAGGCACTTGCATAGAAATTATTTTGTAAAATGAAACGTATATTCACTCCAATGGGTTCTATGTATCTATAGAGCATGGTGTTTTTTTTTTCTAACGCCATTGAAGTGTGTTGCTGTCGCTGAGAGAGAGAAGAGTTGAAGCGGTGTGGATTTATCTATGTATTTGTTTATTTGGTCGTTATGCAAACGATCGAAGTCTGTGGCCCACTGCACGGGTCACAAACGAGCCGAAACGCATTTATCTGCCCCCCCCCCTCGCCCGCTTTTGTGTGGCCAAAAATGTATTATTGTACTTTAAATTCAAGACTATCCATAATCCGATTGACTTTATTTGCAGCTGTGGTGTGAATTCACCATTGGTACCTCATTTGCCAGTAAAAAATATGATAATTGGTTTTTTACCCTTTTATCTGGCAACAAAACTTGAAAATTCTTTGCCCAGTTATGGTTTGCAAGCAGTTTGTGTACAAAGTCAAATGAAGGGCGATAATTCGACTTGCCTATCGTATATGTGTAATATGTTTTGTGTATTTCCCTCAGAGATATCGCCAGCTATTCACTCCCTCTCCCTTTGAAGTTATTGACTTAAAGTTGGCAAGTCTTGTTTGATGATCCTGATTGTTTGCATTTCCTGCTCGTATATATCGTCCACCCAACAACGCTAATGTTTTCTTTGTGTTACGTATTGTTATACATTTGCGTCAAACGAAGACCCATATCTTAAAGAGAGAGGGTCCTTGCTGATAAATATCTGGCAGTGCAATAGCATTGTTGTCAGCAAGCCTCACTCTGCTGATGAAACTGGTTCATAGTTTGCTTTTCTTAAACCAATGCTGTTGGGGAGAACAACAAAAACATCACTCTCAAAAGACCATGTGACCGATGGTATGTTTAGAGAATGATTTAACGTTTTATGTGGAAGGATATATATTCCAAGGAAGTGTATTGTGTGTTATTTATTCTGCTTGTATATGATAATGAATCCCAAACAGTGCTTAGGAAGATTTATCTGTGAGGGTGTGGGTGGTTTAGTGTTAATGTGGGTAAATTCCACCTCAAAGGTTAAACTCAAGGATTATAGGGTTTTAAGCAAGCGCTAGTAAACTCTGCTTCGATTTGGTTAATCACGCAGTTCATATATTTTCTTTCACGAAATGTGGTTTCTTATTTAGACTGCACAGATACACACATTAATGGGTATGTGAGTTATAGCTATGACTAAATCACCCAGAATGTGCTTAATCTCATCAATCTTGAGTAGCTAAGCAGGTTTGAACCTAGATAATGCGTGGATGGGTGAACTCCGTGGAGTAACAGGTGTTGTGGGGCAGTGTTGGGCAGCGCAGCAAAATCTGTAGTTCTGTATGCCCCCCACCCTCATCGGTGAAGTATGATGACATGACCCTCACTCCCTGCACAGCATGGCGAGGCCCTCATCCAGCAACGGCTAGATAAACGGGCTGCATATGTATATACGTACAAGTCATGACTTAAATTTCGATTTAAAGCTTTGGTGACTGCAGGGATTCATCTTCTTGGTTCTTTCGGTAAAGTCACATAGAATGGAAATAATAAAATAATAAAAATAAAACATAATAAAATTATTCTCACGACGTTTCGGCCACAACGCAAGCAGCCGTCCTCAGGTGGAGAACAGGTCTGTCGAGAAGACGGAGTCTGAATGACACATCCCAGGCTTGGAGCGACTATTTAAGCTGGGATGGAGGGGGGAAGAGCACCTTGACAAAATAATTTGCATATCAAGAGGAATTTAGCATATTTATGGGAAATGCAGATATGCGATTAGTACTGCAGCTTAAATAGTCGCTCCAAGCCTGGGGTGTGTCATTCAGACTCTGTCTTCTCGACAGACCTGTTCTCCACCTGGGGACGGCTGCTTGCGTTGTGGCCGAAACGTCGTGAGAATTATTATATAATGTTTTATTTTTATTATTTTATTATTTCCATTCTACGTGACTTTACCGAAAGAACCAAGAAGAAGTCACGACTTGTTTGTGAATGGTATCTCAAGAGGGCCAGTGCCAGGTGGCTCCACACCGCCAAATCTCCCATTTGTCGCGCCCAAGTTCAGTCGGATTAGCGGCGTATCCCAGTTATGGTGGCCCACACTTAACGGCTCTCCTGGGCCCCGCAATCCGAGGCGGGTAACCGCTCGCCACTCAATCTCCGTACTTGTGGAGTACAGATGGAAGTGAATCCGCTTGTGGTGGTACTGCCACACCCTGGCGAGCCGGGAGATGACGACCTCGAGGGAGTTTTGAAAGATTGTACAATCCACCAACCCTCACTTCCAAATCTTCTTGGTTCTTTCGGTAAAGTCACGTAGGAAATAATAAAATAATAAAAATAAAACATAATAAAATAATTCTCACGACGTTTCGGCCACAACGCAAGCAGCCGAAACGTCGTGAGAATTATTTTATTATGTTTTATTTTTATTATTTTATTATTTCCCTTCTACGTGACTTTACAGAAAGAACCAAGAAGATGAATCCCTGCAGTCACGAAAGCTTTAAATCGAAATTTAACTCGCTTCCAAAGTTGCTGGATTATCGGCACGCTGCCGCAGGAGTGACTGAGCGGACGAACGCGCGGACGGACAATTGCCCGTGCCGCGGTGCGCGTGCACCCACAGGCTGGGGAGGTGGCAGCGCAAGAGGCTGGAGGCGGACACCATGGACGTGGCCACCGCGCAGGAGGAGACGCTGCTCGCTCGGCTGCAGCGGAACGGCGGCACGGCGTACGGGCGTCAGCACGGCCTCGACTCCATCCGCAGCCGTCGGGAGCTGAGGGAGAGGCACCCACTCACCAGGTGCGCGCGCCGCTCTTTGTTGACATTTAAAATATATAAATATATACATCTGCACGTTTATTTTATGCGTGGCCTTCGTCAGCAACCTGTAGAATTGCATTTTAATTCGAGTCTTAGTCCGTGGGTTTCACTTGGCCACGCTCCTTGTCGAGTCTATTAAAGTGGTAAAAAATGTAGTCCCCTCTTGGTTATGAAATCTAGAAATGTTTAACTTCTTTCACACCGTGCGTAGACCAGCCATGCTCATCGGAGGTGTGGGGGAAGGACAACAAACTGAACACAAAAAGCAGTTCTGAAGAAATTCGTTTTCAATCTAGTAAATTGAAATGAGAACAGAGGTGGCAAAATGGAGATGCCAAGAGATGACACGAGGTTGTTCCAAGACTTTGGTGCAACTCCATTAAATGCTTTTTATCCAAATTGTGTGCAAAATCTGATAACTATTACCAGGCAATCAGATGCGCATTGCAATTTTTTGGATTGTCTAATGGTAATAACAGGTGAGACGTATCTGTGGACAATAGCCTTGTAAATGAAAATATCTGAGTGATAACAACAGAGTTTGGTCAGCAATACTGACATTTCTCAAATTAGCAGGGAAATCGGTAATCTCTGAGGGTTTTTGTGTGTGTCTTCATGCGCGCACACGCGCGCGTGTGTGTTTTTAGCCGTCAATAAATGCTGGGCATGTGACATTTCAAGTGCTAATAATTGAGAATCTGGCAGAGCTAAACAAACAGGATTGGAGCCAACTGTCTGTCAATGACATTTATCAGCTCTTAACAGGAAAACACCTCATATTAAATTTTGAATACTCCATGCAGACCTGTCAATATTCCTTTCACTGGTGGTGACTTTGCAATTCCTTGCTTCATGGGTAATCTGTTCATTAAACCTTGCATCCTAACCCTGCAAACGTATTATTATTTTAGATATGTGATGGCATGTCCCTCAATGTGTATGCATTGAATTGATTGGCTATGTTGCATTTGTAACAAAAAAATGGTTGACACTACCTCGGTTCAACTAACAAATAACTGAACTCAATTCTAAAATGGTCGTCTTATATTCAATAAAAGTGATATTTTTTGGCCAGTAGACTCAAATATATTTAACAGACCTGAAGGGTTTAATTTCTGCTGTTTTTATACCTAGTTCCGTTGCGCCGCTAAACTGTATTGTTATGCCGCACTCACACGTCTCCTTATGGTCCCTAAGATCTGGGGATGCAGATCTTCTCTGCATTGTCAGGCCGAGGCTTCGTTCTATGTGTGACCGAGATTTTTCCCCGTGTAGCCCCCAGGCTGTGGAATGCTCTTCTACGAGATATCAGAGATCTCAGAGTCTGTGGACATTTTTTTTATTTGCGTCTCAAACCCTATTTATACGCTTTCGCTTATTAAGCTTTGAGTTAATTTAGTAAATGGATTCTTAAAATGTATTCATAATATTAGTATTTTTATGCGTGTCTGCTGCTGCTTTCTGTACAGCGCTTTGAGATTCTAGATGAAAAGCGCCATATAAATGGAATTATTATTATTTGTGCTGCCAGGGGAATAACACATCGTAGGCAGTAGTGGCGCACACCTGTAACCCAGTATTGTTGAGCCAAGGGTTGGTGGGTTACAGGGTATGGCTGTCAAGGTTGCCTTACCCTGGATCTCCAAGAGATGACAGTACAGCAAGTGGGCCGAAACAAGTGGGCCAAAACGTCATGAGAATTATTTTATTATGTAAAATTTTTATTATTTTATTATTTCCCTTCTACGTGACTTTACCGAAAGAACCAAGAAGATGAAGTGGGTTAATCTCCATCGGTTGTCACCTGTACGGGGACTTCTATGGGGACTCCACTTTTTTCCACATTTAGAAACGTGCAATGAGATTATTTTGCTGTTATAAATATCCACACGATAAGCCACTTTGTTGAGCTATCATTTGTGGCCAGGTCGCTTTTGAAAAATAAGTTAATACTTCAGTGGGCTTTACCTGGTAAGATACATATTAAGTGATTTATTTACCTTTCCTATACTTGGTATGTTTTGTATTTTTTCTTGTTGTAACATTCTTACCCGCCCCCTACTGGACATCTGTGAAAAAGAGCTTTATAGCTCAACGAATTCCTCCAGTACAAATACAGATTATGATTCTGATAATCGCTCAGTCGCGAATGTGGCCAGACATCTCAATGTAGTTCTAGATTTGAAGCTTTCGTGACTGCAAGAATTCATATTCTTAGGTTTTTTCGGTAAAGTCACGTAGGTAAAACATCAAAATTAATAAAAATAAAATAAAGATCACGACGTTTCGTCATGATCGCTTAAAAGCGATTACATCTTGAATCATTGCCTCACTTGATGCAGCTAATCTGGCTGTGACGGTCCCACCTGATGACGGAGACTTGTGTTGCCTCCGAAACGTCGTGATCTTTATTTTATTTTATTTTTATTAATTTTGATGTTTTACCTACGTGACTTTACCGAAAAAACCTAAGAATATGAATCTCAATGTAGGCCCACACAGCCTGGGCAATTCTTGATGGCGGTTCTGGCTCCTTTGCCACTCATCCGTTTATTCCCATGACTCTGAATCTAAGGACATCCAGCGCAAGGGTGTGTTCTGCTTGTTCCAGACGATCACAGTTCGAGCCTCACAGTCGACCGGGTTAACGTCGCGCGTGCGTTAACCATAAATACGCCCCGCGTGGCTTTGCAGTGAACGTGAAAGCTCCTGTGACGTGAGAGCGTAAGACATTTGCGCTGGCGTCGTCGTCCACATTTGCTAAGTTCAAACATTTTCTTGCAGATTACTCAAATGGGAGTGCACATGGCAACATCGCCTCTGACCTGAAAGCTATGGCAGACAGTGTATGTGAAACATAGCCCCTTTGTGATAGCCTTGTACGATAATAATGGTGAAAATGTCAAATGAATTCATTATTCTATTTGATTTAAAAGGTCCTTTAACTTCCTGGGCAGTTGTGCTGGTTTATGGCTCTGAGTGGACATTCTCCAACCAGGTGTCATTTAACAGCAGTCTCAAACCTGATCCCACCACCATAGATGAATCTCCATCAACACACAATGCTGATGTCTTCATTGTGTATTATAGGACTTAGTATATATCTTGCTGACATTAAAGGTCAGCTCTTAACGCTGACCATATTTTTGCACTCATAAAAGGGGCCACTGCCCATAAATTGCGTTATAGGACACTGGTCAATGTTCAGTGTCTGACATTGACTTGGTCAATCATCTAAATTGTGTGGCAATTATAGAAGCAATGTTGCGTCACCTTAATTTTGTTTATTCCCTTGTGCCCACAGTTTGTGCGTGGCTGTGTATATCACGTGATGGTTTAATGGGGTTGTTCTGCTCTGACCACTGAACGGCATGTGACGGAGACAACAGAAAGCCTCTGTCACTCCAGCTGTTGACCCTCAGTAACACAGCTGTTTTCTCGAGCAGCTAACGATCAAGGGCATTTGATTTTACCTCTTCGCTCGTCTTTGTCCATGCTGCACGAGTTGAACCGCACGTGTACACTCATCTAAGTTACATATTATACAGCGGACACTGCAAAAAAACAAATCGGCGCATGTTAGCAGACGTTCATGTGATTTAAAAATACAGGTTCAATTCTAGAAACCGAAGAAATTGCTCAGTATATCATCCCAAAAGCATGTTCTTAATGAGTCACGCAAAAAAAAGTATAATAACGCTGTGGCCTTAAAAAGAAAAAATATATTTAATAGGTGACATTTCAGACAATGACCCTTCTTCACAGCAACATAGAGAGGCCACAGAGGTAGAGGGGAATGAGCCTTATCATTTTCACTCAACAACCATAGCATCTGCAACAGATGCTTTTAATTTGTCGGGCGCGCTGCACTCGATATTGTGTCGCAGCTTTCACATTTGAAAGTTCCCGCATGCAGAGAAGAGAGCCCCTGGCACAATACCTCATCCCGGATCCCAAACCTGACACTTTTCCTCGACTCTTGTTATCCTCCAAACCACTCTCGTCTTTGCTCTCAGTAATGTAACTCACCCATTGAATGGCCCAAATGGGCATCCGGCCGACTGTGGTGTAAGCGATGGGGCAATGTGCTGTAATCTAGCATCCAAATGCGCATGTGGCGCAGTAGAAATTACACCGCCTTGCTCCTCTGCTTGATTGACAGCTGAGTAAATGACTCAAATGCCCATTTTTCTCGCCCGCCTTTTTGCGCCCATCTTGCGAAACTACTTTTGAGCAGCGTGTGAGCGTTTCGCCCAAGTAATTTGCGCTCGTTAGCGTTGTCTCTTTGCAGGTGCGCATTAATTCAGCCTCCCCGATGCTAGCGGGCATGGCCCCGACGTGCACGGCGCATGCAAAGAATCCAATTGAAAATTGTCCCCTTGGGCACAGAATGTCACATGCTCCATCAAGTGTGTTATTCCACGACGAGAGAGCCCGGTCATCTGTCAAGCCTAAAAAAAAACTTTCCTTAAAACATTGGCCAAGGTTGGGGTACAGAAAGTAAAATGCTGTTTAAGTATTTATCTCAAGGCGTTTCACAGTCACCCCCTGTTAACGAACACCTCATGATTCGGGTGGACTGCAGATTGTTATTTCCATTAATGTGTTACCTGTGTAATGGGCATGACTAACGCAACTTATTATGGACAGTGAGTCATGTGGTCTTCAGCTGATGAACACGGGTGGCGCAATGGCTAACTCACTATGCTGCGAACCCGGCGGCTCGAGTTCAATCACTGACCACTGCTAAAATCAATGGCTTGTGGTAAGAGAATTACTTCTGGACACCCTCTAGGTCGACTCACCACTGGGGAGACAAAGGGGGCCTTGCGTACTTCTGGCCGCACCATCCCCTTGTTCACAGTTTCTTCATAGGTGCTGCTCTTCATAGGTGCTTGCTAACGACACTTCGCCTCAACAAGTTACATCTCTATGGAGGAGATCTCTGGCTTTTTTGGTATTCTAAACTCATTGGTAACCATTCCGTGGCAGTATCTTAGTTATGGACGTAATTAATTCCAGTTATTCTCCAACCACCAGTGGATGAAGGCCTCCCATGCCATGTCGCTGTTGGGTTATTATTTTTACCATACTTCACCATGCTAGTCAGTCCAGGTTGGCGAAGAACGGGGGGGAGGGTTAAACCGGTTTGCGTATCACTCGCCACTGATGTTAGCCGTGGCTAGGAATCGAACTTGGGTGACGTGTTTCATAGCGCAGTCTGATAACCACTATGTCACGACTTTGTGAACCGTATTCCATACCTGGCCATGTTTGTTTTCAGCATTTGTTTTATGAATCTGGTCCACCTCTATTTTGACTCGTCCCTCTCGCAGAACAGGACAGGCACGTTGGTTGCTAACCCATCTCTTTAGTTAGTGAGGATTATTCTCTCATAGTGTGGATTTTCTTCACGTATTCCAGTTGTCAAACTACTTGCAGAAAGGCTCAAATCGGAATTGGCCAACATCCTAAAACCAGGACCTCCCCTGAAATATGCAAGTCTGTGAAGCGTACCTAGATTATTACATTTTCATACTTTTGAATGTTCTTATAACAGTTAATAATAGCTACTTAGTAAGCACTTTCAACATTGCACTTTCTGAACTTTTTTGTGATATGAGCTACATTTTATCCTGAATGCAACATAATCATTTTATAATATCCAGTAATTTGCATACTGTAATTGATTCCCACACAAACGTTCCAGTCTGTGTATCACAACCACAATGATCAATTTCAATCAATGCATCGATGCATCGTTACACGCCTAACAAAGTACATTGCTAACGGATTGTTGTGCATCGTTTTCATGATGATGAATCTATGAATAAAATTACATGCCTGGCAATCACCTTGCTTTTGCTGCCTTCTTCTATTGCTGCCTGCTGCTACTGCTGCCTGCTGCCCGCCATTGCTGCTTGCTGCTGACTGCTGCTGCTGCTGGCTGTTGCTGGCTGGCGCTGGCTGATGCTGCCTGTTGTTACCTGCTGCTATCTGCTGCTGCTGCCTGCTGCTGCTGCTTGTTGCTGCCTTCTGCTGTCTAATGCTGCTGTCTATTGCTGCCTGCTACTGCCCGTTCGTGCTGCTTGCTACCCGCCACTGCTGCTACCTGTTTGCTGCTGCTGGCTTGCTGCTGCATGCTGCTGCCTGCTGCTTTCTGTGGCTACTTGCTGCGGCTGCCTGCTGCTGCTGCTGCCGCAGATACGATCACTACCGGGCGTACGTGGAGCGGGTGGCGTGTGGGGAGCTGGGAGTTCTCACATCTCAGCAGCCGTCGATCCTGGCCCTCACGTCCGGCACATCGGGCCACTGCAGCATGCTGCTCAGCCTGCCCTCCACCCTGCGGGAGTTCTTCCTCCAGGTCGGGTGGCTGCTGTAGGAGCGTCAGGGGCCGTCCATTAATGACGTCACGCGATTTTGGACGATTTTTGACCCCCCCCCTCTCGTCACACGGCGTCACAAAAAGTCAGCCCCCTCCCCCTCAAATATGATGTCACAAAGCTCTGCCCCCCCCAAAAAAATAAAAACATGCTTCAAATCGCTTTAAACTATTGTCATTGTAGTGCGTATGTAATGTGCTGCTGCACTTTGATGTTGTAGGAGAAAACATTTATTAAAAAGTCTGTTAAATTAAGTAGAACGTGTTGTTTATTTAAAGTCGTGCTTTTTGATGTGACGTCACATTTCTCAAACACTCCACCCCCTCGTCACACATCGTCACAAATGTCTCACCCCCCCCCCCCCCCGGTGCGTGACGTCATTTATGGATGGCCCCTTAGCGCGGGATCGGTGGATCGTGTATAGATGGAGTTAACATGTGTGTCTGTGTGTGACACACCAGCCTGCGTGGCGATGAGTTGGCAGAGAGAGGCCTACCTTGATATGATGAATAATTGGAGTGAATGTGTTTATTTATACAAATCAAAATTATTTATTTAGGCACCGCATTGTACAGATATACAGGTTATACATTTGCACGATTTTGACAGGGGCTCAAATTTGATTAATTTTGTTATCGTTCAATGCCAAATAGACAGACACTTCTATCACCACAGAAATGTGTTTGTTCATTTACTTAGGGGAAGACAATGTTGAGAAGTAGCCATATATATGCATATCAGTTTAACACGTAGGCTTTCGCGACCAATATTATTCATAATAAGAGTTTTTGGGTTTAGATCGCGTTATTTATAAATGTGTCGCAACCCTCCACCACCCGACACGGCCAATCAGTAAAAAAGTGTCACGTTGACAAAAGACAAATAGTTCACTACTTTAGCCCACCGGTGTGTTGAAGAGTGAATCCACAACATTTACAATTTTTGAGTACGACGTTTCGCTGGTAATTACATCAACCAGCATCATCGGGCAATTTGCCAGAATAGTGAAGCCCTCCACCTGCTCCCGGTCTTAAATAGAGCAGCAGCAGGGTGACGTCATCATTTAACCCAATCTGATGCAGAGATCAGAGGCATCTGATTGGGTTAAATGATGATTGGCCATGTCGGGTGGTGAAGGGTTGCGACACATTTATAAATAACGCGATCTAACCCAGAAACCTTTATGATAAATATATGCATATCATTCGTTCAGTGAAACTTTCTTTGAGAAAATAAATAAGCATTACGTTTGAGGCTTCTGTCATATGACTACATTGTTGTCACCATCGTCGTCGTTGTTGTTGTTTTTATCATCGCAGGGAGTGGCCGTCATCCTGTGCGTCATGTTCGACACGTACCCCGAAGCCAGGAACCTTCAGAAGGTGGCAAAATTCTTTTACATGCCGCGCTGGCGTTCGTCGGAGGCCGGCATCCCCGTGGGACCCAACTCCTCGTCACCGGACAGCAGCAAGGGACTCCTGGGCATCTACTCCACCCCGGGGTGCGCCTTTGCCATCGCGAGCGAGCGGGAGGCCCTCTACGTGCACCTGCTGTTCGCGCTGCGCGACCGACGCCTGGGCTCGTTGGAGGCGAACTTCGCATCGCTCGTGTACCACGCCTTCTCCGCGCTGGAGATGCGGTGGCAGCGCTCGTTGGCTGAAGACATCGAGTTGGGCCGGGTAAGCGATTTTTTTATTTTATTTTATTTATGGTTTTTTTTTTTTTATCGGGTAAGGCCCCACTGAGTTATATAGCTCTTTTGCAGAAGCGACCTCGCTGTCAAAAATGATGGCCCCAAATGAGAAGTGGCTTATCATCAACAGCCAGCTACTCTAAGCGCACGTTGAATCTAGATGTGGTGGGAAAAGCCGGAGGACCCGGAGAAAAATCCACGCGACCACAGGGAGATAGAGACACACAAACTCCACATATACATGCGTCAGGGTTGGCACGAACCGACGACCTTCTGTATACCAGGTGAGGCGGATAACATCTCGCCAACGGGGCGCCCGTTACCGTTGGTTTTGCGCGGTTGCTATCTGGAGCTCTGATGCGTTCCCGGTTCGTGCCGTGAGGCGTGACGTTTGGCCGGGCGCTCGCTGGGAGCTTCTTTTCGAAGCTGCACTGTCGGGCACTATGCCACAGACACCGACCCTCGGTGTGACCTGTGAGCATCACCCACCTCTGGACCTTCGACCCCCCACACCACACGACCACACCACTCTGCTGCACTTTTCTAACAGGTGAGCCCCAACATCGACCTTCCGGACGACATACGCTCCTCGCTGAACGCCCTACTCAGGCCGGATCCGGCGCGTGCCGAGGAGCTGCGTCGGGCGTTTGCCGGCGGATTCGACGGCATCGCCCGCAGGATCTGGCCGCATCTCAACCTGGTGCTGGCCGTAGACTCCGGCTCCAACGAGCCATACGGCCGGGCCCTGGAGAACCACTACTGCCGGGGAGTGCCCCTCTACTCACCTCTGTACGGAGCCACGGAGGGTGAGCGTCACAGCAACTCCGTGTTGTTCGTGCGTGAGGGGTGGCAGCTAGTGAGACTATTGGAGGTCTGTTCCAATGTAACCATGGACCTTTGGCAGTGGGAGGGGGGTGGAAGGAGATGAACTTAACTTCTTAGCAGGGATGGAGTGGGCGTGAAGGGCGATGGGGGTTCAAGGCCCACTGGGTGAGTCTTTAGAATCAGAATTTGTTATTTTTCCTGGAAAAATCCGATGAGCTATGAAGCTTTTCTTTTTCAAAGATGTCCAGTAGGGGCGGGTCAGAAAGTTACAACATACAATACAAAAACGCGGTAGGAGTGCAATGCACAGAAAAGGTAAGCAAATCGCTCAAAATAAATACGTAAAATAGATCGAGGATAAAAGTTCAAATTGCATAAGACTTAGGCAGAGGCAACGCATGCGTCTCAGTCGAATAGCAAACATCGCACCGTGTAGAGGCATTGTAGCCGAGGGGATAGAGGCCGACTTTCATGCAGCGCAGGAGGTGGGTTCAATTCCCTGCCTCAGATGATGCAACATTTTATATGACCCACCTCATTGGCTACAGTGCCACTGTTTTAAATTTCACTCGTCTTTAATGATTTGCTGGTTTTTTTTACACGCAATAAAAATTATGTATTCTTCAATAATGCATATGTTTCGCTCTTGACGTGCTCATGCACCGTGTCCGCTCTGGTGGACCGCTCCTGTTTATTGACATTACAGCCACAGCGCCTCAAAACCTTCGGCACGTGCAGTCCTCTGTGCTGGTCACCGTATATTCAGTGTTGCAACCCAGTGGAGGACATTGTGACCAGAGACACTGGGCATAGTAGGACTTCGCCGTGGTGGTGGCGGCGAACGGTGGAATTTGAGTGTTCGCCGCATCATGCGAGAAGTGTGCAACGTATTTTTGGGCGTGCCGTTAACTGATTCAGGCATGAGAGAGTTAAACGCAGGCTCACGAGAAGCTGATGCGATTATATTCATCATTGATATTACACAAACCGGGCCAGGTGGCTAAGCGGAAGAGCGGGCGGCTCGCAATCGGAACTCCGCGAGTTTGAATCCTGGCTAGAGGGGGGTGGGGTCGACTCACCCCATCATCTCTCCGGGCTCGATAAAAACTCGTCCCACTTTGCGCGTAAGTCAACAGTGGTTGTCCTATGGAGAGACTTGCCCCTGCCATAGAAATGGAGAACTTCCATCACCGGCTCAAGGTTTTAAACAGTAGTGGATGAGCTCCACCTCAATGCTCTTTTTTTTCCTTTGTTTTTTTTTGTCGTGCGATCTCACCGTTACCCTCGGTCACCGCAGGTCTGATCGGGGTGAACCTGTGGCCGGGGCGTCGGGAAAGGCGCTACCTGCTGTGTCCCCGCTCCATGGTGTGCGAGTTCATCCCCGTGCAGCACGCCGGGCAGGAGCAGCCGGGCACGCTGCTCATGGAGGAGGTGCAAGAGGGGCAGGTCTACGAGCTGGTGCTCACGAATGGCTCAGGCCTCTACCGGTCAGTGTTGGCCCTTATTCTTCTTCTTCTTTCGTACGGCTCTGATGTAGATGCAGAGCAACGACTACAATTTCACAGTCACGTGGTCAAGCCCAGATAACCGCGTCGGGAGCAGCGGCGTTGTGCCGCTGTGATGTCTCCTTCGTATATTTGGGGATCGGGGCATTGCGTCGTTATACGTTGTACGGTCTGTTCTGGATGACCACAGTCGTTCGCTACTGGATAACTTTTAATTTCCCATTTGTGCATCAGGTATCTGCATCTGCCAGGGCTTTGTGCGAATGCGGTTTAGGGTGGATCATGAACTTCGTGGAAGATAAAAGAAATCAGGCATCGTCTGGCCCTGATGACAAAGGACAGTCGTATAATGCCTTTTCTGTATAAGCTCATTATGGATCTTTCTAGAAGATTCCTGGGTAATCTATATATATAAAATCGTTCATGTCTGTCTGTCTGTGTGTGTGTGTGTGTATTTCGGCCCATACGCACTTTCATTGGACGGCGGTTGCCCCTGGCAACGGCTAGCCACGCCTTCGCCGCTTTCATTGGACCTGGCAACGGCTAGCCACGCCTTCGCCACTTTCATAAGCTCCGTATTTAATTAAATAATAGCCATTACATAGTATTGTTGGAGCGCTAGGGGGGGGGGAAGGAACGCCACCCGTACCCTGCCTCTTCCAAGCCGACAATTTTAGGCGAGGCCGCAGGCTTTGCACGCTACTAGGCCTCGACACCCACCACGCCACTCTGAGGTAAATTCATCAAAGTTTTTCCTACTCTTCACTACACCCCCACCACAATGTGTGCTATTAATATTACTTTTAAACCCAACGCGCCAACAATCGATTACTTTAATGTTCACTGTACAAATACTCATTAAGCTGGGTGAGCGTACTGCCAGTCTATCATGTACACTGTAGCCTGCTTATTAAGCTCGGTGAGCGTACTGCCACTCTATCATGTACACTCTAGCCTGCTTATGAAGCTGAGTGCGTGTACTGGCAGTCTATAATGTGGACTCTTGCCTGGTTATTATAATCGATTCTTTATATGTTCTTTGTACAAACAGTCATTAAGCTGCTTGAGCGACCCCAGTTCGATTCCAACTCACGCACACCACCGCTGACGATTATTTGAAACGGACCTGGCCCTCCCCTAGGTCCACTCAGCCTCAAAAGCGTAACTGCTGTCGTGTGTGAACATCGTCACTGGGGAGACAAAGGCGGCGGGGCATCGTGGATCCAAGTCCCGGGCGAAGCCGGGTCATGTGTATGTGTGTTTGTGTTTATGTGTATGTCTGTGTGTCTCTATGTATGTGTGTATGTATGTGTATGTATGTGTTTGTGTGTATGTGTGTGTGTATGTATGTGGGTTTTTTTATGTCTTTATGTGTATGTCTGCGTGTCTCTATGTATGTGTGTATGTACGTGTGTGCATGTGTTTGTGTGTATGTATGTGTGTGTCTATGTATGTGTGTGTATGTGTTTTTGTGTATGTATGTGTGTGTATGTATGTGTGTTATGTGTCTGTCTGTGTCTGCATGTATGTGTGTGTGTATTGTGTATGTGTTTGTGTGCATCTATGTGTGTGTTTGTGTGTATGTGTATGTCTGTGTGTATGTATGTGTGTGTATGTGTGTGTATGTGTTTGTGTGTATGTGTGTGTATGTGTTTGTATGTGTTTGTGTGTTTACGCTCGCATTACACAAATGTGTTGCTGGTCTAAGGCGTTCCTCGCACAGCATTGCCGCTTTATTTTTTCAGTCGTTTACTGCCTTACGCACCCTGAAAGTCGTGTGTGTCTGCAGCAAGCGCGTGTATGTGTACCTATGGACGCGCGCGCGTGTGTTGTGTAGGGGGAACGGTAGTGTAGTGCTTAGCGTGCTGTCTGTGTCTGTGTGTGTGTGTCTGTCTGTGTGTGTCTGCGTGTGTCTGTGTGTGTGTCTGTGTGTGTGCGTGTGTGGTGTGTGGGGAGCGGTAGTGTAGTGCTTAGCGTGCTGTCTGTGTGTCTGTGTGTGTGTGTGTCTGTCTGTGTCTGTCTGTGTGTGTCTGCGTGTGTCTGTGTGTGTGTCTGTGCGTGTGTGGTGTGTGAGGAGCGGTGGGTGTAGTGCTTAACGCTACGCTGCGCTACCAACCCGGCGAACCGAGTTCGATTCCCGCTCACGGCCACCACCGGTGACGATTATTTGAACCTCCCCTAGGTCCACTCAGCCTCAAACGAGTAACTGGTGTGGCGTATTAACATCGGCACTTGGGAGACAAAGGCGGCCGGGCGTGGTAGATCCAAGTCCCGGGCGAAGCCGGGTCATGTGTATGTGTTTATGTGTATGTCTGTGTGTCTGTATGCATGTGTGTATGTATGTGTGTGTATGTGTTTGTGTGTATGTCTGTGTGTGTATGTATGTCAGTTTTGCCGCCGTGGTGGATCCAAGTCCCGGGCGAAGCCGGGTCATGTGTATGTGTTTATGTGTATGTCTGTGTGTCTGTATGCATGTGTGTATGTATGTGTGTGTATGTGTTTGTGTGTATGTCTGTGTGTGTATGTATGTCGGTTTTGCCGCCGTGGTGGATCCAAGTCCCGGGCGAAGCCGGGTCATGTGTATGTGTGTATGTGTTTATGTGTATGTCTGTGTGTCTGTATGCATGTGTGTATGTATGTGTGTGCATGTGTTTGTGTGTATGTATGTGTGTGTGTATGTATGTGGGTTTTTTTGTATGTGTTTATGTGTATGTCTGCGTGCCTGTATGTATGTGTGTATGTACGTCTGTGGATGTGTTTGTGTGTATGTATGTGTGTGTCTATGTATGTGTGTGTATGTGTTTCTGTGTTTGTATGTGTGTGTATGTATGTGTGTTATGTGTCTGTCTGTGTGTCTGCATGTATGTGTGTGTGTATTGTGTATGTGTTTGTGTGTGTTTGTGTGTTTACGCTCGCATTACACAAATGTATAATGCGGGTCTAAGGCGTTCCTTACACAGCATTGCCGCTTTATTATTTCAGTCGTTAACTGCCGTATGCACCCTGAAAGTCGTGTGTGTCTGCAGCAATGGACGCGCGCGCGTGTGTTGTGTAGGGGGAACGGTAGTGTAGTGCTTAGCGTGCTGCCTGTGTCTGTGTGTGTGTGTCTGTGTGTGTGTGTCTGTGTGTGTGTCTGTGTGTGTGTCTGTGTGTGTGCGTGTGTGGTGTGTGGGGAGCGGTAGTGTAGTGGTTAGCGTGCTGTCTGTGTGTGTGTTTCTGTCTGTGTGTGTCTGCGTGTGTCTGTGTGTGTCTGTGTGTGTGTCTGTGCGTGTGTGGTGTGTGAGGAGCGGTGGGTGTAGTGCTTAACGCTACGCTGCGCTACCAACCCGGCAAACCCAGTTCGATTCCCGCTCACGGCCACCACCGGTGACGATTATTTGAACCTCCCCTAGGTCGACTCTGCCTCAAACGAGTAACTTAACTACTGTAGCGTATTAACATCGCCACTGGGGAGACAAAGGCGGCCGGCCGTGGTAGATACAAGTCCCGGGCGAAGCCGGGTAGTACAGCTAGTAACGTATATAAGCATCTACACATGCGTATAAAATATGTTTAAGTCATCAGCCTATTGGCTTTACAAACCAATATCACCCAGCAGCATTTGTTTAATCAATAGCAATTATTTATGCGTAGAGACATGTCTGAAAATGCTCTTTCCTACAATGCTCCACAATAATGCATAATGAGTGTGTGTACAATGTTGCTTTTTTATTTTCAACAAAGCCCCATCGTATATATGGAGCGCCCTTGCCAGTAACATGTGGCTACCCGGCAGAATTTGTTTAACCGGCCTGGCTGCTGACAAAGGCTGCCGGTTAAAATTGGCCTGGAAAGCCAATAACGTTTTTGCATTGGGGGAAACAGAATTGAGGTCTGCTAAGGTGTGTCACATTTTCTGCGGCGCGTGTTATCTCCGTTGTGTGTGTAAAAAATTAGCCCATTGTAAAGATACATTGCGATAATAGTAGTGGCTTGTAGTTCCAGTCTCGAGGTGTTACAAACCCTGGTGCCTCTGTTGTTGCAGTCTCAGGTGATGAATGCACGTGCATTTATTGGTAACTGACACATCATGGCAACACGTAATGGTCCAGCAGCATACCAAGCCTTCTGGGACACTGAATGAGCCTATGACACGTGCCCATCTGGTGAAAAAAATGTTAATAAACAAACAAATAAAGCCACTACCATTTCATTCCGGTTATATGTTAATGATGAATAAAATCACAATAACACTCGCTTTTATATTGCGCCCATAACGTAACTAAATGTCTTTTTAGCGCAATTTCTTGTTTGTAGCCTAGGGGGTCTGGCCCCCAGATGGCAGCTGTCCCAGTGCGGCACAAGGTGAATTGGAAGTCGGCGTTAGTCTCCGAGTCATACTCTTAGGTTTTTTTTTTCGGTAAAGTAAAGTAGGTAAAAAATTTAATTCAAATTAATAGAAAAAAATCACGACGTTTCAGAGGCAACACAAGCTTCCGCCTTCAGGTGGAACCGTCACAGCACGATTGCTGTATCAAGTAAAAATATCTCCGAGTCAGGTTCGATGATTGCTGTTGCGTGTAATCCCAATTGAGTAATTTGTTGGTAAATTTTCAAAATCGGACCATTATGCCGGCACACGTCTGGCCCCTTTTGTCTCAACACACCAGGTACTCATTTAAGGCTGAATCGATCTAGGGGAAGCCCTGATCTGCTTAAACTATTCGCGACTGTCATCGGTTGTGAGTGGGAATCGAACTCGGGTCACCGGGTTCGTAGCACAGCTAGCGCTAACCACTGCACCGCACGCACGCATGAACGCACGTATGAAGTCTGTGCTGCTCTTCCTCCGTCCATGTCTGTCAGGCAATCATAATAATTTGTTATCCTCAGGGAAAGTAAGCAATACTCATCCGTGTCGTTTGTCTCTCCCAGCGGATGCCTGAAACAGATTTTCTCTTTTCTACTTTCCCAGATATCGCTTTGGTGACGTTATTCAAGTGGTTGGATTCCACAACCGGTGTCCCATCGTGGAATTTATGTACAGGTGGGCGTCATAATTTTCACTCGAAAATCCCCGAACAACAAATAGCGGCGAGGCGTTGTGTCAAAACGCGTCACGCGTCCGTGCGTTAAGTTGGAGACGCGCGTGAAAAATGGGGAAAACATTCTGTGCAGTGCAGAATCTGGGTCAAATGCCGCCCTTTTTTGCTGAAAGCAATCGTTCTATTATATGAAACTCCCGGGGTTTAAAATAGCTTGCAGCTGACACGGACGGCGTAAATATTTAATTTGTTTGCTCTTGTCCCATTAACTGGCGTGTTTGCTTTGTGCTCCTGACCACAAGATTCTACTTGTGCAGGAAGTGATGCTGTAATTGCCATCGTGAGTTGCCTGTGTGTGCTCTTATCGCGTTAACCGTTGCACGCACAGTTGCACATTCTGCTATTAATTAAAGTGTGGATGACTGAGAGTTTTGTGTGTGCGGTAAGTTGTTTAGACGGCCCGAGACATAATGCACCGTGTTGAAGCTTATTGCAGTTCCTAAGTCCATTTATGTAATGCGCATATGCTGCGTTACCAAGGCACATTGGAAGTTATTGGGCAAATTCATCCAATTTTCCATACGTATTTCGAAAACCCAATAGACCATGAGACTCAATCGAGTGCAAAACAATACAGTAAAGGTAAATATCAAGTTATTGCCAGGGATGTCAAGTTTTTAACTCACTTTTTGGTATGGATATTGATTGCGTGTATTGGTATGCTTTATTCCAGCGTCATTGGACACGAAAACATTCTCTCTAGCAATGAAGCCTGTATGGTTTAGCATTAAAATCAATAAAGCTCTATTGAAATTTAGTGAGCCTTTTGTGTATAAAAAGTATGAGAACATGGTCGTGAGCTTTGCCAGATTTATTCTACCTGCTTGAGCATCAAACTCCACGGAAGGCCAATTACTTGGTTCATTAATGATGAGGGCCGTGCGGGTTTGTATTTGTCAGCAAGAGATGTTAAAGCAATTTAGAACTTGAAAGTTCACCCTGCGCTATGAGTGAAACCAATCAACCTCCGGGCTGTAATTTTTTTTCGGGCGCCCAAAATAATCCATTCACATTTCCACGTTGTTCCGTTGCCGGATTACATAGTTCATGAGCAGCCCCCCGCCGTCTCGCTTGACAGGCAGGGCATGATGCTGAACGTGCGAGGAGAGAAGACGTCCGAAGGTTTGTTCGACAGGGTCATGAAGCGCACCGCTCGCATCTGGGGTGGCTCCGAGCTGCTCGACTACTGCTGTGCGGAGAGTGTCCTTCTCGGTACGTGGAGGAAATACAGACCCAGTCTCCTTACTGCTTGTTAGTTTTGTCATCTTTCTTTGCCATCTCCTTTTGTCTTTTCAACCTTTTCAACTTTTCCTCCAAGTTGTGCTTTCGCTGCCACATCATGAGACTGATCGTCCATTCGTAACTCTATGGGGCAGTGCATCAACCTGTGTTCGAGAATGGCCTGTGGAAGGTGATATCAAGGAACTACCATTGGAACTTCATTTGCCAGTAACAAAATATGATAATTGTTTTTTTACCCTTTTATCTGGCAACAAAACTGACACCTTTTTTACAAGGAGTCATGTTTGCATTGACCACAATACCTGCAGTCGTAATGCATACAAAAAACATAACTCTGATAATGTATGCACTGTCCTTGAAATTGATTGGTCCACACCCGAGACAGCTTTCTTTAGAGCCTAGTCTCACATGGTGTTGGACCAGATAACGCCTGCAGGTATTGTGGTCAATGCAAACATGACTCCTTGTAAAAAAGGTGTCAGTTTTGTTGCCAGATAAAAGGGTAAAAAAACAATTATCATCAAGGAACTACTTTTGACAAGGAGGCCTACTCTTTCACGTACCCTGCTGAAGGATGAAATGTTTGTCACATAGCAGCCATAGAGTGGTTTTTTTTCATACCTATATATGCAGAGCTACAGCTTAGCCAAATTTATTGAAAATCAAATTTAATGCGATTGGTTGTTTGTGCAGTCAACTAATTAGTGAAAACCCGGTTGTAATTTCGGGTGGCTGCTCAAACTCGAGCCAAGATCTCAGCAGTGCCGATTCCACGCTCTCACCGCTGAGCAACCTGCCCACCTCGCATTAGCGGCGCCTGCCTCAGGACGCTTGCCAGCCGCAAGGAGCCCCGAGCTCTCCCGGATCCACCATTAGCCATGTCACCGCAAGGCAATAATTGACTGTACGTATGGATGATGTCCATCATTATCGTGTCTTTTACAAGTCAGCCTCAATTGCTTTTGACTTGTTTCCCTATAGGTCTTGTTTCTTTTTTTTCTTTTCAATGCTCTGGTTTTCTCCAAAATAATAATAATTCTGAAACAGGAATTGGCCAGACACCTAGTAGGAACCTCGATGGAAATAAGGCCATGTTATCATTCGACAATTAAATTAACAATTTTGGGGGAATTTTGCCACTTTTCTGTATTAACAATTTCAAAGTTTACATCGTAACTGAGATGGACAATCACAGTACACAACCTCAACTCTGTATTCATTTAAATAAGTCACCTATTCTAGACCGAAATGTAAGCATAATATACAGTATTTTTAAGCTATCAGCCTTCCAGACTTGTATCTCACCAGCAGGAATTATTTAAGCTACCTCTGAGGTATGTGGTACAGAGTTCCAAGTACTAATTTAGAACTGCAGAAATCCTGGCTGCGATTCCATGCAGTGATTAAACTGAGTTATCCTGCATTGAGAGCCGCTGCTCACAGCTTGATTTGGCTAAATTCTAATGCCACTCGACAAACACCACGCTGATGTAGAGCAGGTGAGGAAGTGTTGCCCCCTGTCGTGTTGAACAGACGTCACTTTGATGAGTCTTAGAAGTGTCATGTGATATCAGCTTCTGCGGGTCATTCGCTAAGAAACAAGGGTTGCACTGTGGTGAAAGAGATGCAAATTCATGTTGCGTCTCAAGACATAATGCCGATAGCACAATTGAGATGCAATTGGAAAAAAAAAGCGCACATAATTTTAAGGAAATGAATGTCATGCATTCTGTACTTGTACTATGCTGGCAAGCATAACAACACTTTTGAGCTTTCATATTCTCTTAATAGACATGTATTGAAGAGTGATTCTTTTGTACAATACAACATTGCTCAGTGGTTATTTGTGTAATTGTTTCTTGCACTGCTAAATATATAGTGTGCATTGATATGATGATAGATGATTATACATTTGCAATTGTTGCTGCTGATGATGATGACGACGATGTGTATTCCTTTCTCTGAGCCTAAAAGCATTTGTATTCAATGTTTGTTTTCTTATTTTAGGAAACTCAGCAGGAACTTCTGACCCACACTATGAGGTGTTCGTGGAAGTCAAAGGAACCCAATATTTATCTGATGAAAAGAGAAACAAGGTTTCCCTGTTTATTTGTTTTTAAGATGTGCACTTACGAGAGCTTGGTGTATGTTTAAAACACTTGCGGTTTGTTTCAGTTGTAACCTTTTCCACCATCAAGGTGAGATTTATGTATACATTACAAATGCTAATTTGACTTGATTTAATGGTTAAGGTACAACCGCTTCAGACATTGCTCATACAGCCGCCTCCTATCAACGGAAACTTGATGAACGTGTTACGTGTGGGTATCTGTAATTTTTTGCTACCTGAAGAAATTAATTTTAATGTTCTATATTGCTGAGGGGATACATAACTTGCTTAAGTATTAACTGCATTATTCAGGAATTGAACAGAGTGCACTGGTATAGGAGCCCAGTGATTAAAATCAAAGTGCTGTCCCCACTTTGAAATGTGCATTTGGTTGTGTTAAACGTTAACAAGGGATGGTGACATCAACGGCTTTGGCCATGATGCTGTCTTGATCTTGATTTTTAATATATCTTGAAAGTTCTAAGGCGGTGGTGATGATTCCATGTTACTGTGGCAGGGACCAGTCTATCCTCAGCGAAGGAAATCTACTGTTAACTTCTGACCAAATTGTGCGGTCCTCACCTGGGTAGTATTAATTTGACCAACCCTAGAGGGATGTTTGGTTTGGTTTAGTTTATTTTGCCACAGGTAAAACCCATTGGGAATGAACTGCTCATTTTAGATGGGAACTGGTCACAGAATAGAAACTTGGTTACAGAAAAATAAAAATACACAAACAAAATAATCCAAAAACAACTGTACGTGGTCAGGGTCTGAATGACAAGGTCGTGCGTCAACATGAAACAAACCAGCACAAATAATACAACAAGGCTGGTAGAACACATCACATACACATAGTGTCGCGTACAAAACAGCACCAAGTCAGTTAAGATTGTAAAGATGTTTTTTTTATCTTTATCTTGGTCAACTATGGATGGGATCTGAATTGCGAGTGTATGATTACGTCGGCCACAATAATATGGCCAGAACTAGTGCCATAACGTACAGAGACGCTGCTGTGGTGTAATGGTTATCACACGTACTGGACTTGTAATCCAGGGGTCGCCGGTTCGATCTCCTGGCGTGGCAGTGAAATTTTTTTTATTTTTATTAAATCTCCCTGCCTCTCTGCACCCAGCAGTAAAAATGGGTACACCACAGTCAGTGAATCAGCAGCAGCGTGGTGGGCTACAGTGTGGGCACTGTCACTTCTTCCTAGATGTCTGGCCAGCGTGAGAGAGTGGGCCAATCATGTCAATGAGAAAGGGGCTTTCTAGAGCGTCGTCTGATAGATAACATGTCCACAAGAAGGGGCTTTCTAGAGCGTCGTCTGATAGATAACATGTCCACGAGAAGCGGCTTTCTAGAGCGTCATCTGATAGTTAACATGTCCACGAGAAAGGGGCTTTCTAGAGCGTCATCTGATAGTTAACATGTCCACGAGAAGAGGCTTTCTAGAGCGTCGTCTGATAGAGAACCATTCGCCAGCCATGGCATGAGCAAGGAATTGCATGGCTGAGCCTTTACCTTTTCCTGTAACATACAGCAAACTATACGACTGCTTCTCAACCAACGATACGAATTCACTATTGTTTGTGCATGTGTCCCCAGCTCGATCAGTTTCTGCAGGAAGAGTCGGCGGTGTACAAGTCATTCCGCAACAAAGGCAGCATCGGGCCAGCCCGGGTAAACCTGATCCACCAAGGGGCATTCCAGGATCTCAAGAAATATACCCTCGAGAAATCTGGAGCCAGTCCTAACCAGTACAAGACTCCCCGGGTGCTGAAGAACAAGGAGCAGGTTGACATTTTATTGCAGAGATGCATTGCCTGAGTATGGAGCAAGCTGGATGAGACTGTACGTCCCAGCATGTGGCAAGCCCATAAAGCAAAGACTGCCTCAACGGCAAATGGCAATAGTGATGGTAGAAATGCAGTTCTCAGGCAATTAAAATGTGTGCGATGAGTGCATACGTTTTGTTTTCGTTTCCTTTTCAGTGGTTTATCTCCGAAGCCTTTAGGTCTTAAAAAGTTAGAATAAACAAATACGAGCAATACGTGTCCACAAAGTTGGTTGGTACATTGCCCCAATATTCAGTGTAATGACGAAAACTATAATGATGTAGTAAGGGTGAAAATAATGGTTTCAATTCCACTGATGAACCAGTGGATGTCTGCTGTCTCTCAGTCGGTTCAGATCTAAATACAAGCGGTCCCTGCTTTTATAACACGAATATTTTGTGGAAACCCCATATCTGTCAATCCCTTATCGGTGCCCCTACCGTATTACAGACCAATTCAGACTGTATTGGTTACCCAGTGCCCGTATAAATCTCAACGTTCATCCTACAAAGTCCCATCACAAGGGAGAAACACAAACAAATAAACCAAAAAAAAATGTCGCCCGTATTGAAACGGCTGTACGCCGTATGGATCTGAAAACGCAATTTCCCCGTACAAGAATACGGGTAAACCGTATGGGGTTGACGGGTATGAAACCCCGTCGTAAATCGCATCGTCATAAAGCAGACCCCTATTTTCCCATAGTAAAAAACAGTAGAAACATCACTTTCCGATGTGTTTTTTTCTTTTATAAGCCATACTTAACAGGGTTCAATCGGTAATAATCTGCAAAAAAACAACAGCTGAGAATAACAAATGATCCAAGCCGAGTCACGTCGGAAACCGGACCGACTCTGTTCAAATGCGTTCAGAGTCGTGTCGGAAGATGCGCCGTAAATCCAGTTTCTGCGTCGTAAATCGATCCATGGTGACACTGCTGACGGTCGCATGTCCTACGTGCACTGGCTGTGGCCGTGTAGACAGATGTGCGATTGGCAGTTTTTCTTCCCACATTGCTTGCACTAGTAGCTTAATGTTTTGAAGGAACGGCCATGTAAACTATGACCCAAGTAGGGGTGGTTGGGTAGCACAGTCGTCCAAAAACCGACATTCTGGGGTGCAGTCAAAGTAGCCACCTACAAACCAGGTTCTCGAGTCGAGTGAGTTGATTGGTTCAGCCTGCTCCACCAATCGCTGCAGGTAGCGTTTTTGTTGTAAAAGTTTTGTACTTCATTGGCAAAATGCTAACTCAGACAATGAACAATTATAGGTGGAACTGCCACACAAATAATGTATGTACGTAACAGAATATGTGGGGCAGTGTTCCTGTAGTGGGCAGATAAAATAGGTCGCCTAAAGAGGTCTCAGAAGTAGTTCTGTGGTGTCTTTTCTTACGAGCAATTCTCTAACGCGTATGCAACTGCCGAAAGCACAATTTAAGTTAAATTGGAGAAATTACTACAAAATATAAAAATATGACAATGGCACTTGATAACTAATTTTTGCAAACTATGTCGTCAACGTTGTCACTTTCTGTGCAGAAGTTAAGTGCGAACGTATTCTCTAAAAACTGTGTTCCCTGCTGGGCTCAATTTTTTTTAATGCAGAAAAGTGTTTGGCATCTCACGCATTCCAAATAAGCTTCGTCATTTTGTTGTTGTTTTAAGTCTGCTTTGTCACATGCTCTGGTGACACATGGCCACACACACACAGATCAATATCTCCCAGCTATCCTTTTTTGACTTTCGATCCACTCCTATAACCATATATAAAATGTATTTGAATTATTTACATCCAATATGATGACATACGTAATATGTGTTGCCCCTCCCGGCGTTTTGTTTCAAAACCGTGAAGGGGCTTTTCGGAGGTTTGCAAAGATCAGCCAGCAGTTTGCCGTAATTAATTAAACTTCCTTTCTCGTGTAGTTCCACACACATCCTTCTTAGAGACGTTTAGCATATTTTTTGTTCCAGCTTCAATCTGCATAAGGCAGCTCATTTCTGCACTCTGCACAATCCTGTATCTATATGTCTGACTTTGTATTGAATAATTTTTCAGCCGAATCGAGCCGCTAAATTCAAGGCCGTAAAAGTTCAGGAGAATGATTTTGTTGTATCAAGGCCGACTATACTTTACATGAGTGCGTTCTTGTGCCAAATGTATGTTCCTTAATCCAGGTTTGTAGACATTTAGTCACCGTTTATTTACTTAAATACGTTAATCAGATCATTAGGCAGGCGCCCAAGCTGCACGGGTCTGTCTGGCATAGCCAGCCAAGTAAGAGTTGAAGAGGCCAAGGCCGTGTATGAATGCCATGAATTGGCTACGAGCAGGTTGAACTGCCAGACCCGCGTGCATATGCAGACATAAACACAGGCACACATGCGCGCAATCCAACACACCCACACATCCATCGCAATGGCAACATTATCCGTTTATTATCACACTTTGCTTTGGTGATACGCAAATTAGCTGTTTACCAGATGTGGCCATTTAACTTTCAAAATATCGTATTGCTGAGTTATCACTTATTTCATTATGAAAGACCCATGTGTATACACTGTGTTCACACAGAATAGAGAAAACAGCATAGGGTCGGGAGATAGTCATTTTATCGCTAGTGAGACTATGAGGATCACTGCTTGATTCACCATACTGATGCATTGGTTGGCATCGGTCAATCTGACAATAAGGCCCAACCTCTATATCGAGCTTGAGCTATCAATATGTGCGTCACTTATGTTCAGAATATTTTAACATGAAGCAGCAAGATAAGGTGTTTGTTTATATGTGTATATTCATTCAAGTATCAATCAAACATGCATCATGAAGATCTTGCCTACAAGAGGTGATGGATTTCTCAAGCAACACGAGACGAGCATTGGGACCGGTTGAGATGGGAAAGCTCTCCTGCGTTTTTTTGATGTCACTCAAGAAATAGGAGAGGCACTGAGACCCCTTTGGTCTTTAACACAGTCCTAAAACATCAAGTGGCCAGCAACCAACAGCACCCGCAAAGATGCATCGGATGAACGGCCAACACGTCTCTCGAATTGGGCAAGGTTACGGGAGCTCAGGAAGAGAGACGGGATGGGAGGGAATTTTCACGTCGAGCAGATGCGAGGGAAGACGCAGACAGAGAAACGCTGCGACCTGCGGTGTTGGGGGGGGGGGGTTGATGACAGTGCGGATGAGGTGAGATGGGCAGTCTGGCAGACTCCGAGGAGGAATAGGAATTAAACGAGTGACGTTCACGGTGGTAGCGTTAGGAGAGCGGTACGGAGGTGCTGAATGCCGATGGGCAAGTGACTGGCCGGGTGACATCAAAGCATCAAAGCAGAATTCAACATTTGGCACCGACGCCTGTCCAATTGTGCTATGGATCTCGATACATCGATAATGCTGAGGTATGGATTTTGTTCAGTCTGTTTCATGAGCAAAGAAGTGGGCTTACTTGAAAGACAAATCTGATGCAGGGCTATCTCTATGGGACCCTTTTTGGCAGTATCAGGATATGAAATGAAAAAAAAAGTGCCTTTGCCCCTTTCTGGCATACATGCAGGCGTTAAGATGTTTGTTAATGCTTAACTCAGAGCTAGTAATGCCTTGGTGTTTTCATTGTCCTTGGACTGTTTGCCTTTTGGCGGCCTTCGGTCTGGCACTGGTGAGACAAAGCCTGGTGTCGACCAATAAGTTTCGAGGACAGTGCGTATATTATATCAAAGCATAATTGTTTGCATTTTTTCACCACATGTATGTGTGGTTAATGCGGACTTGATGCCTCGTAATTAGTATCTCTTTGGTGCTTGGATATCTTAACACCTCCTGCGTGTGTGTCAGAAAGTGTTAAGCCCCCATTTTTTAAAATAAATCAATGAACGCACGACCATCGCAAAAGGAAACGACACCTCCTCCATTACTTTTTCCATCATTGCTAAACATGTGCATGGAAGTGTAAGAACAGAGTTGCGTAATGCCTGACCATTCACACACAGCCACCACAACAACACAATATCAGGTATCAGAAATAGTTCGTGTCTTGTGCAGGCTTTCATCGCTCTGGCTCTGTGCCCTTTCTCCACACACCGTGTGGATGACATCCTCACTGGGTACTTTACTTTGATCCACTTACATCGTGTTGGAGTGATACACACGCACGCGTCTGGAAATTGAATTACTTCTCCGTTCAGCCAGCTGGTGCTCGGTGAGTCTGGCTATCGATCTGTCTTGTCTACCAACTAGCAGTGCGTGCAGTCACACGCGCAACAACAGCAAAACAAAACCAATAATGTTCAGGATTTTAGAGTCTGCCATTCACTCTATCACCCTAAGTCTACAAGACGTTATTTGCCAGTCGGCAAATACTCCTTGGGACATGGGAAGATTTGTTTGTGTGTTCTCCAAGGATCATGTATGTCAGCAGAAGTAAAACTTTAGCTGGAGATAGGGCTGGGTGTTTGGAATTCACTGGGATTGTCTCCTGGTTGTGGCATTTCTAAAGTGTGACAAGTCTCTGGTGGCTTGAGTTGGATGTCCTGCTATTGTATTGGACTCGTAAAGGTTGGCCATGTCTCGCGTGAATCTGGCCCCAGGATAAGTGACCTCCAGTGTGCTCCCAGGCCCTTTCGTTAGGGTAGTGATCCAAAGCTGCTGTGGGCTCGTGCAAGTGCATTGTAGCATGTCCAAGGATGTAACAGGAGCTGGCCAAGGCGAGGGCCAATGTGGCTTTAAACTGGCTGAGCAGATGGTCAGGCAGTGACACCAACAGATATATCAGACTCCCGGTTTTAACCCTTTCGTGATGTATTTTTTTGTGCAGAAAATTCACCTCGTTCATTTACGTACATAAATTGGATATTGTATTATGCATTTAATTTTCTTACGTCTGCCTGTGCCACGATCGCATTGCTTGAGTAGGGCATTATGAGTCTCATTGAATGATAATCATAATCAAGCAGTGTTGTCAATGTTAGGGAGTTGAAGATCACTTATTATTTTTGTAGGTTCTTATTATGGTATGGATTCATACTTGAAAATAGAGAGCACTCATGTTTTTGTTCTCAAAACAACACGATAGGTTTTGGCTTTTTTATTCGATTATATTGATTTTAACCGGCTCTTATGTTGTATATTTCAGGAATCTAGCTGTTACCACATCTTGAAGGCTTTATGCATTTTATATAACACAGAACCCCAGCTTTTTAGACACACATGTTTTAAGAAACGGCTTATGTAAGTTAAAATGCATTATTGGCAACCAACTGCTTTGCTTTTTTCCACGATAGAAACCCAGAACTCCCCGGCATGAGTAGAGGCAGTGAGCTTAACCGAGCCTTCACTGGCGCAAGAGTTCTGCTTGGGAAAAGAGAGGTGAGTCAGCGGGGAAAAGAGTGGTGAGTTAGCGGTGAAAAGAGTGGTGAGTTAGCGGTGAAAAGAGTGGTGAGTTAGCGGTGAAAAGAGTGGTGAGTTAGCGGTGAAAAGAGTGGTGAGTTAGCGGTGAAAAGAGTGGTGAGTTAGCGGTGAAAAGAGTGGTGAGTTAGCGGTGAAAAGAGTGGTGAGTTAGCGGTGAAAAGAGTGGTGAGTCAGCGGTGAAAAGAGTGGTGAGTTAGCGGTGAAAAGAGTGGTGAGTTAGCGGTGAAAAGAGTGGTGAGTTAGCGGTGAAAAGAGTGGTGAGTTAGCGGTGAAAAGAGTGGTGAGTTAGCGGTGAAAAGAGTGGTGAGTTAGCAGTGAAAAGAGTGGTGAGTTAGCGGTGAAAAGAGTGGTGAGTTAGCAGTGAAAAGAGTGGTGAGTTAGCAGTGAAAAGAGTGGTGAGTTAGCGGTGAAAAGAGTGGTGAGTTAGCGGTGAAAAGAGTGGTGAGTTAGCGGTGAAAAGAGTGGTGAGTTAGCGGTGAAAAGAGTGGTGAGTTAGCGGTGAAAAGAGTGGTGAGTTAGCAGTGAAAAGAGTGGTGAGTTAGCGGTGAAAAGAGTGGTGAGTTAGCGGTGAAAAGAGTGGTGAGTCAGCGGTGAAAAGAGTGGTGAGTTAGCGGTGAAAAGAGTGGTGAGTTAGCGGTGAAAAGAGTGGTGAGTCAGCGGTGAAAAGAGTGGTGAGTCAGCGGTGAAAAGAGTGGTGAGTTAGCGGTGAAAAGAGTGGTGAGTTAGCAGTGAAAAGAGTGGTGAGTTAGCGGTGAAAAGAGTGGTGAGTCAGCGGGGAAAAGAGTGGTGAGTCAGCGGTGAAAAGAGTGGTGAGTCAGCGGTGAAAAGAGTGGTGAGTTAGCGGTGAAAAGAGTGGTGAGTTAGCAGTGAAAAGAGTGGTGAGTTAGCGGTGAAAAGAGTGGTGAGTCAGCGGGGAAAAGAGTGGTGAGTTAGCGGTGAAAAGAGTGGTGAGTTAGCGGTGAAAAGAGTGGTGAGTTAGCGGTGAAAAGAGTGGTGAGTTAGCGGTGAAAAGAGTGGTGAGTTAGCGGTGAAAAGAGTGGTGAGTTAGCGGTGAAAAGAGTGGTGAGTCAGCGGTGAAAAGAGTGGTGAGTTAGCAGTGAAAAGAGTGGTGAGTTAGCAGTGAAAAGAGTGGTGAGTTAGCAGTGAAAAGAGTGGTGAGTTAGCGGTGAAAAGAGTGGTGAGTCAGCGGTGAAAAGAGTGGTGAGTCAGCGGTGAAAAGAGTGGTGAGTTAGCGGTGAAAAGAGTGGTGAGTCAGCGGTGAAAAGAGAGGTGAGTTAGCGGTGAAAAGAGTGGTGAGTCAGCGGTGAAAAGAGTGGTGAGTCAGCGGTGAAAAGAGTGGTGAGTTAGCGGTGAAAAGAGTGGTGAGTCAGCGGTGAAAAGAGAGGTGAGTTAGCGGTGAAAAGAGTGGTGAGTCAGCGGTGAAAAGAGTGGTGAGTTAGCGGTGAAAAGAGTGGTGAGTTAGCGGTGAAAAGAGTGGTGAGTCAGCGGTGAAAAGAGTGGTGAGTCAGCGGTGAAAAGAGTGGTGAGTTAGCAGTGAAAAGAGTGGTGAGTTAGCAGTGAAAAGAGTGGTGAGTTAGCAGTGAAAAGAGTGGTGAGTTAGCAGTGAAAAGAGTGGTGAGTTAGCAGTGAAAAGAGTGGTGAGTTAGCAGTGAAAAGAGTGGTGAGTTAGCAGTGAAAAGAGTGGTGAGTTAGCAGTGAAAAGAGTGGTGAGTCAGCGGTGAAAAGAGTGGTGAGTCAGCGCCATTGTTAAAGCCACCGGCTACCACGTGCTGGCTTTTGCCTGTGTACTCAGCAAACGTGTAATGGATCCCTTTCCCCTATAATATCTATATTTGTGTTGTCTCTTTCAATCAGAAGCAGGCTCTGCGTTCAACACTGGTAGACATTAACAATAGGTTTTACTCTTTCATAAAACTGGTGTTAAGATGTTCAAACACCAAGTAGAAACCTTTTGCAATGAATCAAGTCTGCGTTAACCACCACACAGTACTTGTGGTGAACATGCAAACAAACATGCTCTAAAAATATACGCATTGTCTTTGAAACTGATTGGCCTACACCAGAGACATCCTTCTTTATGACCTAGTCTCACCAGTGTCAGACCAGAGAACGCCAAAGGGCTGACAGTACAATGACAATGCACAGAGGCTGTCTCTAGTGTTGGCCAACCAGTTTCAAAGACAATGCATATATTGTCAGAGCAGGTTTTGCATGTTCAGCGCAAGTATATGTGGTTAATGCCAGGATTTGATTCCTGCCAGAAAAGGTTCCATGATATAGTGGCAGGCATTGCCTGCGAAATTAAAGTGCCTCAATCATTTCCACACTTGATTAGGAAAGTAAGCAATGCTGATATATTTTAATAGTGCGTACACAAGTGTACATGCCGTTTATTCGGCTCCTTGTTCATGTGGTCATGTAATCAACATTTTATTTCTTGGCCAATATATATCAATTTTTTTTCCAAGTGCTAAAAAGTGCTTTGTCTAATAAAATGATAGCAATATAAGTAGTGCCTTCAACATATGGCAGTTCACCATCATTGATTCAAACAAGCCTGGCTCTACTTACGAGACATCGTATGCTGAAACCAGTCCAGAGTTTGCTTCTACTGAATCAATGCTGCAAACATTTTCTCCCAGAAGGCTGTGCTGCTGATGGGTTATGTAAACGATTGTTTTTTTGTGTGGAGAGACGTATTTCAAGGAGACAATAGCTGTTATCTATTGTATTTATATTCTCCAATATGTCCACCCAGAAGTGTCAATGCATACCCACAAACGTGTAACCCACTTTCAGTCGATCAGCAGGCTGCAGGTGGTGGAGTAAAGTGTTGGTACTTCCACCTTTAAAAGATAAATGGCTAGCATTCAAATATAGACAAAATAATATGTATATATACTCTCTAGAGTCGAGAGGCACTCCCTCGAGCAGTGGCGTAAGAAAACTGTATTGTACTGTATTTTTATTTTAGCAGGTAAGGTCCACTGAGAAAAATAGCTGTTTTTCAGAAGCGACCTGGCCACAAATGAAAGCTCAACAAAGTGGCTTATCACGTGGAAATGTATATAAATGTGGAGGGAAAACACCGGACGACCCGGAAAATAATCCACGCGACCACGGGGAGAAAATACAAACTCCAAATATGTAGGCGTCAGGGTCGGGATCGAACTCCCTTAACACCTCCTGTGTACCAAACTATCACAGGGTTCCATTTGCAGGACCGAATCACCCTTGACAATGGGCTTGCTCGATCAGCTCGCACATGAAATCATATTTTGACTTTCAGAATTGTTTTAATACTTTGTTATTTTCCCTCGTCGGCCATGATCATCTGATGTATTTAAAGGGTCATATTCTTTTTTTTTGTTAATGCTGCCTCGACCGTAATGAAACAAAATGATTAACGAGTTGAGATTAATGTACCGCATTTAAATAAACACCAGTTGGAAACACGAATTGGATTTCGGCCACTCAAATTGTGTTCTTGTTGTTTGCTGCCCACATGAGCAACGCTGTGGTGCTTATCCCCTGTTTACATGCCCTGAACTAGTTTTGGAAATTATCCATTCTTATGGCCGAGATGAGTTTATCCATCAGACAACCACTATTCACTCTGTGCATGAGTGGCTCAGAGTGCTTTACATCGCATTTCGTGTCAACGCATTTGAAAGGGGGGGGGGGGCACCCCCAGTGGCAGGTGTCCCTGTGGTCACCTGGCCTGCCAGCTGGCATTAGTCTGCCAGTTAGAGGAGCCATTGATGGAACAAGTAAACCCGTAAAAACAAAGTTTTTCACTCTAAATCCTTTATATGCGTGGCGGCTAGAGTCCTCTCGTCCTCTGGCTTGAGATGGCTGCCACCTATGGGTCAGATGATTGTCTGCCAGTATTAAGCAATTGGTAATTAATTGTCTCGCACAACGAGTCTGTGTGAAAAATGTCAGCTCGATTGGATCACGGGAAGTGGGTTAAAAACGACTGAAAGATTTGCACGGTCGTAAGCAAGCAAGCACGCAAGCACGCAAGCACGCAAGCGAACTTAATATAAAGGATTTAAAAAAAGGCTTTACCCTTTCTGGTAATAAAACAGGTGTTAAGATGTGCAAACGCCAAATAGATACCAAAAACAAGGCACCCAGGCTGCATTAACCACTCATACTTGTGGCAAAACATGCACCCCCGATTAGCACGGTTGGCTACGTACGGTGCAATAGAAGTTCAACATACGGACATATCTGCATTGTCTTTGAAACTGATTGGCCTACACCAGAGACAACCTTCTTTATGACCTAGTCTCACCGCCGGTGTTAGGCAAGGGAACGCCACAAGGCGAACAGCACAAAGACAATGCACGTATAGGAGCACTTCTAGCTTGGGTCGAGCAAGTTATTCCTACGTCTGATCCAAATTGAGCAAAGTGCAGATTATTTTTGTTGGCAAATGCGGACCCTTACACCGGCACACAACTCTCGCGAAGGACGCCAGAGGTTCCCTTTCGCCGTGCACGGTGGAGCAGACGGCGCGTCGCGTTGTGTGCGCGCCGCAGTAATAACCGGGGGCGGACGCTTGGCTTTTTGAACCGTGAACTTCTGCAATGAGCGGCAAACGTGCTACCACCGGGGCCCTGCTATCTAGTAAAACCAAAAGGCTCGAAGCGTTCCGTCGCCTGAAAATGGGCCGTGGTCTCGGAGCACCTCGAAGAAGGCGATCTTAAGATCTCGGGGAACTCGTCGGAGTGTGAACACGGAGCGGTGAATTCTAAACGCCAGCTGACGCGCCGCGAGCTGGAGAGGCCCGGGTGGCAATGGCGACATCAAATGACGCCGATCCCGCAACCGGAATTAAAAGTGAGAAAACAAGTAGGGGAAGAGGAAAAAACCCACAATGGCCACAATACAGAGTGCTTCAAAAAAATGTGAACACTTCGGAGAATTTGCAACAACGCCACGAATAAATGTGCCTCCGGGCTCTGGAGACCACCTGGAGAAGATTCAAGGCAACGTGTTGACAATGATGGCGAACAAGTGGAGACTCTTTGACTTTTTGAAGCTATCAACATACATTTGTAGTGTCACAGTGTATTATCCGT